TATTTTTCTTTTTACATAACTGCCCAATTTTTATGTATTTGCCAAATAACTACACCTAAATGGGTCTGCTGACCAGGCCACTGGTGTAATGGCTAGCAATTTGTCCCGTGTGTGTGTGTGTGTGTGTGTGTGTGTGTGTGTGTAAATATATTTTTTTTCTCTGTCAGAACAAGGCCCCTTATTGCCCCCACTGGGAAAATTGTCCAAATAAATACACAAATCTTTGATGACTATGACGTGAATGGTTTTCCCTTGGGGTGGTATCCTGGCACAGTGTGCCACCTGCACATCTGTCCCTGGCAGTTCTGCACTGACAAGAGGGAGAGTTCTCTGTGCAAGGGCTCTAGCCATCAAAGGTGGGAACTGCCACACAGCCAACACCATGCTCTGGCGGTACAATGTGGATGGCGAGCCGGTATGCAACACTCGCCGCCTTTACATGAAGCTACACTGGGTGCTGCAGCTGAAAGAGGAAAGCATCTGGAATGGGAAATGGAAGGTTAAGAACATCAGCAGAATGAAGAGCTCCTCGGGGTCCACAAGAGACACCACAGCCTCACCACGGCCCTCTGTCCCATACCCTGAGAACTCAGCTAGACCCCAGCATGGCTCCCCTTGATCCCCCAGGTCCCGTGTGAACTCCCAGGTCTTTGGTCAGGTGGATGGCCTCTGGCCCCTCTGGCCCGCAGCCACTTAAGAGTTCAAATTCAAGCCTGAGGACTTTGCCTTCCCATTCACAGCCCTGGGTCCCAGGGCTGGCAGAGGGGCCCTATGCCACGAAGCCAGATATGCACTGGCCTTGGCCTAGTTCCCAAGCCTTTCTCCCCTTGGAAGAAAAGGGCCCCGTCCAACCCAAACAGCAAGGGCCCTGCAAATGCTGTATGAAGCTCTGAACCACAATGGCCATTCCAGCCAAGGTTGACTGCCCTGAGATGCCCACAGCCAGCTTGAATTCTACACTCACCAACATCCTATTTATAGGTTGCAGCAGTTGCAAAATTCTACCCTCCTATTGTAGAACCAGAATCAACCTCAGAATGGCTGAGTCAAGTGGGATGAGGGGAACAGCCAGCTGGGGGAACTCCTCAGACCTGGTACCTGTCCTTTATTTTCCACCACATGTATTTCTTTAGCACCTCACTACTCAAGGTGTGGCCAGTAACACTGATATTATCTTAAGTGTAGGGGAAATTTCCACAGGATTCTCCCTTACCTCCTTTGCTTTCTTTGGCTGGTTCAATAATAGATTGACACAAGAGAGATTAGCACAAAAGACAAATTTAATTTTGTGTGCATGTAGATCTACAAAATACGGAACCCAGTGAATGATCAACAGTACAGTTTTTAGATAAAGAAGCAATAAATGTATGAAGAATAGACAGGACAAGGCATTATTGGAAGTTCTGGTTTGGACAGCTTAGTGAGCTAGGCAAAGCTTGTTTACCTACTTTCATGACCCCTGTCTCTGCCAACAGATTTTATTTCCAGTGAAACAGAGTGGGGGAGGTGTGAGAGGAGGTGAGTTTTAGGGTATCAGTCATTCATAGCCTGTTTAATTCACAATAATTAATCTGCTACTTTGGCACATCTTGGGTGGCCTGATCTGGGAACCCACATTAGAAATGTACTCTCAGGGTCCACACCAAACTAAACTAGAATCTTCATTTTATCTAGATCCCTGAGTGATTCATGAGTACATTAAAGCTGGAGGACTACTCCATTTCGCCATAGCCTCTCTTCACCCTATTCCGTCTTCTAGTAGTACCTCAGACATTCTCCTTCTAAATATCTTGTAAAGTGAACATCACGGAAGTTAGCTTTTCTATTTCTTCCTCATCCTTCTGGGTTTGTCTCAGAGGCTCTCCTCCAGGTCTCTGAAATCTAAATCCCCTGTTCCTTCAAAAAGCAAAAGCCTCAGTAAGTACAGGCTTTGAAGCCATGTTACTTGGGTTCAAACTCTGGCCCTATCAACTACAAACTGATAAACAATGGGGCAGCCACATCACTGCACTGAGATTAGGCTTTACTACTAAGTATTTGATGCATGTTAGCTATATTTTCTGAAATCAAAGCCTTAACAACTAAGAATTTTGGAGTTTCTCCTTGTCTTCTGCTGAATGGTGCTTCCATCACATAGGTATGTGAAAAAAAATGTTTTATTCATTTGGCTTTTGCTACTGAGTCAACCAGTTCCACTTTCATCTGGGGATGGAGTTTGTAACTATCTGCTCAATCAATAAATTCCCACAAACCTTCTCAACTAGGAGTGCCAACCTGGTGAACATACTCTCAGAGCTGCAAGTATGGTGCATCCAACTGCTTCAGGGTTCAACAAATATTCTAAGAAAAAAGGCTCACCAAAGATCATAGGGAAAAATAGGGGAGAGGGACAGTTGGAGGGAAGTTGGGGTGAAAGCTGAAGGAACCCACTGGTGGGAGGGGGAATGGGTATACATATAGTCTAGTGGGCAGTTGTTTAGTGATGAACATTGTCTGTAACCGATCTTAGGGGGAAAGCTTAAGTTTCCCAGCACTAAGTATGGTGTTATCTGTAGACTTTGCATTGATGCCCTTTATCAGACTGAGGAAATTTCCTTCTCTTCTGGTTTTCTGAGCTTTAAATCTTAAATCTGTATTGAATCTTCCCAAATCTTTTTTTCCCACATATATTGAAATGATCCTTTATTCTGTCAAAATGATGGATTATAGTAGTTATTAAACCAACCTTAGATTCTGGAATAAACTCTACTAGGTTATGGTATACTATGTTCCTTACATATTGCTAAATTCAATTAGCTTATAGTTAATTTTAAGTTAATAATTTTTGCATTTGTGTTAATGATGTATATACTGATATGTCTCTTTTCTTGTAATGTCTTTGGTCAGCTTTGAAACAGTGGTAACAGTGTTCCCTTAAAAAAAAGTCGGGGGGGCCTCCCTGATGGCGCAAGGGGTTGAGATGCAGCACTACGAGGCTATCTGCAGCCACTGCAGCATGAGTTCGATGCCCGGCCAGGGAAGTGATCCACATGGCGCAGCAGACCCCTCCTGCCACCCGCTGCTCCCCTCAGCAGTGTACTTCAGTCCTTCTGCCTACTCTGCTCCCTGCTCTGGCTCTGGTGAATTCTCTTACCCTCCCGCGCTTCTGACTGTACCCAGTGCTTGTATGTATAAATAAATAAATAAATCTTTTAAAAAAATAAAATAAAACAAAGTTGTCAATAATATTCCCTATTACTCTTTTAATGTCTCATTCCTGTTAGGTATAATTTGTGCTTTTTTCATCTATTTTTGGTAGAAGTTTAACTTCATTAACCTTCCCAAAGAGTTAACATTATTGGTTTTTGTTCTTACTTTCAGTATTTTCTTTAAAAAAAAAAAAAAAAGATTTATTTATTTATGCATACAAGAACTGGGGTACAGGCCAGAGGTGCGGGCGGTGAGAGGATTCACCAGAGACAGAGTGGCGGACAGAACAGGCAGATTGACTGAAATACACTGCTGAGGGGAGCAGTGGGAAAGTCAGGAGAGGTCTGCTGCGCCATATGGGTTGCTCCCTGGCCAGCCGGGGATCGAACTCATGCTGCGGTGGCTGCGGTGAGCTTCACAGGTTGCGTCTTAACCCCTTGCGTCACCAGGGAGCCCAACTTTTAGTATTTTCTTTCTTCCACTTACTTTGGATTTAGTTTGTCCATTTTTTCCTCTAACTTTTGTTTCAAACGTATAAATATTTACAGTTACATAACTTAGGAAACAAGTACAATTCTACTAATTTGGCCTTTTATTACTCAATTTCTTTGAGTTTATTCATCCTTGAAAGAGATTCCTAAATCTTTTTTTAGGGAAAACTTTTTAGGAGAATCCACTCAGGAAGAAAGTATGCATATAAATCTAAAAAACGATTATACAGATATAAAAAGCCTGGCATTCCTATTACATAACTTTAGGCTTTTCATTCTATTACAAGTTAAGTGTGTGTTTATTCTGAAGATGCTTAAATTTTAAGAACCCTCAGTTACTGTTTTGGATGCTCTGTTGTAATTACCAGTGACTCATTCATCTATATTCAAGTTTTTGGAAGTAAATGAAGGTTAAGTAATGACTTAATTTTAATGCCACGATGATACCAATTCCATCACTAGTACATTATATCAAGAAAAAAATCTTCCTGTTATTTACATTAACGTTAACAAGCCATTTCCCTATTATTTGTATTATCTTTTTATGTTTATCTTTGGCAATCTAACCCTGTTTTAATAATGTATTTTGAGTTCTGCCTTTTAATATCCAAAAAGATTATTGCATATATATTATTTTCTTTATAATTCTTCAAAATAGTACCAAAAATTATTTCCATCATAAAATTCCTTTGTTTTTTTTAAAGGAACACTTGTGTTATCAAATAAAACTTTTTTCAAAATCAACCCATCAAGATATTCCTATATACATATAACCAAATGAGTAACATATAACCAAGTGAATACTTGTATATTTTAGGGAAGATATTTTCCTAATTTCATTTTATAAAACACAGGTAATAACAGTCTTGTCAAATTAAGTCATCAAGTAGAAAAAATTTTATATTTAGTCTAAGGTTACTATTGATTTTTAAATGCCAAACAGAAAGGTATTTCATTTCATTAATCAAGAGTTAACACAGAATAAAATGTGTATCCATATAGGTAACTTTTGTTTCTAAGAATTTTTTAAAAAGTAAAAATTTAAGTCATATTTCATTTCAGAATTTTTTTTTTTTACAAAGAACAACATTTTGGGGTAAGACAAATATATACAATTAAACACTTCAAAAATAACATGGCATGTATTATTTTCTCCCAGGGCATCAAATACTAATATGTGTATTTCTACTTTATTTTATACTTATTCTGCATAGTACCAAAAATGATACCCATCACAAGTTCTTTTAAGAGGTTTTTTTTTTAAGGAATACTAAGCTTTTTAAATAACAAAAGTTTGTTACAATAACAAAAATATGAAAATCAGCACAATATTTAATTTATTTTATAAGTTTGGCAAACAGCACAAAAATCCAGCAACATTTAAACATGTAAAAAAGTCAAATGCTAAACAGGACTGGGGAAATTTTTTTACACTATTAGTAATAATGAGTACACATTTTAGATTCTGCAAAGCTAGCAAAATGAGGGTACTTGGCTTCTGAACATATATCACAAACACACACACACACACACACACACACACAAAACAATATAATTTATCTTTACAAAAATTACAGCCAAGCAATGAAAAATGTTAATGAGGATACTAACACAAAGACACATTTACTACATATATCCCCTACACTGAAATGCTACATCTTGTACCCTGAAATGCCATATGTGGAGAGCCAAGCAGATAAATTTAGGCTCATCATTGAGGTTAAGAAATATCTGAGAAGAATTTAATGCTTATATATAATATACTCAACATTAAAACTTCCTATATAGCAATTTCTAGATCATATAGCAATGTATTCCACTATCTATCTGAGAAGTTGCATCTTCTCTGTTGGCAGTATAAAATTTCCGACCAGTATCAAAATTCTGGTAAAACACAAATTGAAGGCATTTTCTAGTATACGCAAATGTTACAGGGGGCATCAATGAATGTGGGGGAAAATCTTAGATTTCACACTAAGTTTCTGCTGAGCTTTGTCAAACCAAACAGCTCAACTATAAGGCAAGAAAAAATAACCCCCTATAACAGATTAATGGGTGTTACCAAGGAAAGATAGGACTTCAATCTTAGGGAAAAAGTTTGTACACAAACAGATTTTTTGAAAGAATTGGTATTGAAATGAACATCGAGAAATTATCTTACATCTTAAGATTCAATCATTGGTTCAGAAGCCTGACAAACAATCTGTTGGTATATATTATCAAATTAACTTTTTGGAATCAGCACCAGTCCCCAAAACCTCAAATTATAATATTTAATCTTCACTGAAAGACATCCTTTTTGTGCTATATTAACACAACTACAATCAAATCAAAGAAAGTTGAATTATTCAACTTATTAAATATTTTTGTATTTACTGGGTTAGCAACTTATAATTTTTTTTTTTCTACTTGTGCTTCTGTTTTGGGGCACTTTGATTGAAGAGAAATTCACTTCACAGGATTACATCTTGCTAAAGCATTCCTTAGCATTGGTCCAAACTTGTATTCCCTTAAAAAAGTAAATAAACAAAAAGGAACTTTAAAATGTGGCTTTGGGAGGATTCTGAAAGCCCAAGAATTTGGCTTACTGGTAAGCTAAGTTTTGCTTTTGGGAGTAATTAACAAGTCCAGCAAATAAACAACTATTCATGACAATGGCTAGTATGAATGAATGTCTTATGTTTCTGAAATAAGTAAGAGAATCACCTTTGAATGAGCCTATCTTCCAAACAGAGAAAAAGAATCCCACAACTTCTATTTGGAAAACTAAATTTTCAAGGTTCATAACCTAAACTCATTCACTCACATCACATAGTCACATAATTTATAGACCAAACAGGTTTTCAGGCAGTTGTTTTCTATGTAATACTTAAAACAAAAGAAAAACCTTATTACTGTAACAATTAATTATAAATTAATTAGTTACTAAAGTATTAGTCCAATAGACTACATTACCAAATCCATCTCAGTGGTTCTAGCTGTCTATTTTGCATATGCTAAGTATAACAAACCCCACATGATTGAGCTTAAACAAAACATGTTTGTAAAAATTTAACAGTAAAATTTAAGGAAGTGGTAGAAACAAAAATTTTTACAGTGTATCAACAGCTAGGATTTCAAATAATGAAAATCTTTTTAATTTTTTCACTTGCTGGTGGAATCAAAGCAAATAAATTAAAAAAAATTAAAAAGCCATTAATATGTCTCAGACCACCTGGTTTTAGTATCTAATGGAATATTCATTGTTAAAAAAAATGACAGATCTTCTGAATTTTCACAGTAAGATATCCATGAGACAGCAATTAAAGAAACAAAAACTACATGCTATCACATATAATGCCAATCCTATTTTCATAAGGAAGGGGAAAGCATTTATTTTCTAAATGATTATCTATGTTACAAAAAAATCTGAAAGGATACACATGAAAATTTTAAGTGGTCAATTTTCCAAATGGGATTTGGGGAAGAAGAAAGAACATTTACTTAATATGCTTCTGGATTATTTAAAATTTTTACAGTGAGCATGTTGTCTTTGTAAGCAAAATTTTAAATTTAAAAAGATCAAGTAGCTTGAAAATTAAGTATTTCTTAAAAGCATCACTTCCTTGATTCAACAAATTAGAATATTCACTATCAAAAAGGTCCACCAAAAAATACTTAGAAGTCATATTTGCTTCTTTAAATGTTAACATTAACATTAAAATTCTTTTTAGCTCATTAATATGCAATTTAGTCATTTGATTATAGTCATATACCACTTTGAATACCTGATATCATAATAAAGTACAATATATTTTAAAAGTATTTTTGTATTAAGAAGTCTGCACTTTAAAAGACAGATCAAAAGAAACTTCTTAATAAGTCTTCTATAGTTAAAAAAGAAAAAAAGTCAACTCTGCAAACCTTTGTTATCTGATCTCTTAGACTTCCTGAGATTAAAAAACGCAGTTTAGAAAGAAGATTGTCAATGTGAAGCACTCCAGGCAGGCAGGAAGTAGCTGACAGGATGACAGCAACAGAAACAGAAAACCACCAAATTACAATTACCCAACCTACAGCATTTATTTGCTTTCTGACTGGTCATGATTTTAATTTCTCTCAAATGACCCCAAAGACATACAACATGAAGTAACCGACAGTTTCACTGAGACATAAATATGAATATGACATATTCATGACATAAATATGACATAAATAAGAATTTGCCCAATACTAAAGAAGTCTATTTGACCAAATGTAAGAGCCTGGTGTTAACATTTCAAAATGTCTTAGTCCTCAACTGCTATTGCTGGTGATAAAAGTGAAAAGATCTAGGAAAGGGATGATTCCTAACCAGAAAAGACAAATTTAGGATAAATTAAACCATAAGAATGTTGATAGGAGTAATTTTTTCCTTTAAGGAAATCTTCATAAATATGGGAATTCATCTTAACATATGATTTACCAAGACAATGCATATAATCTCTTGATAAATTGTGAAGTATCAGACAAATGTAAAGGTCTATACTAATTGGTAGTCACACAGGCAAATGTTATGAAAAGAGATTGAGTAATGCTTTATATTTTGTTCTTACAACAGCATTTTAGGAAGAATCCCCCACCACTGTCAAATGCTTATTTTACCCAGGATAAGTGGCAATATTTATATCTTCAGATATCAGCTATATGAAGTATTTTACTCAGATAACAAATCATATCCCAACTGCATTTACCCAAAATGATGTTTAAGTTATTTTCCAGTTAAAGTATAACCTGTGCAAGAACATCATAGAGTCAAAGCAAAGTTATTGTTATATATTTTCAAATACAAGTCATGAATAGGCACTACAAATTTGAAACTTTAGATATATTGGAGACACAGTAATTGATACTTCGGTTATAACACTTCATAAGCAAGTAGCGATATTGGGAAACATTCTGGAAGAAGCCAACATTACACTAATACCAAAAAAAGGAGGACAACACAAAGAAAGAAAACTGCAGGCCAATCTCTAAGAAACACTGATGCAAAAATCCTCAACAAAATCTTAGCCAACAGAATCCAATAATGCATCAAAAAGATAACACACCATGACCAAGTGGGATTTATTCCAGGGACACAAGGATGGTTCAACATCTGAAAATCAATTAATGTAATCCAACCCATCAACAAAAAGAAAAATAAAAACCATATGATCATATCAATAGATGCTGAGAAAACATTTGACAAAATTCTACATCAATTATGATGAAGACCCTCAAATTCCTTTGAATAGAAGAAACATACCTTAATAATAAAAGCCATATATGACAAACCCACTGCCAACATTATCCTCAACGGTGAAAAGCTGAAACAAACTGAAAATGGATAAAATACCTGAATGTAAGACCTGAAACCACAAAATATATAGAAGGAAATACAGGCAAAATAAATTTCCTTAATATCTGGAACAAGGCAAGGAAGTCTACTCTCACTATTGTTTTTCAATATAATACTGGAAGTTCTAGCCAGAGCAATAAGACAAGGGAAAGACATACAAGGAATCCAAACAGGGAAAGAAGAAGTAAAACTATCACTATTGGCAGATGATATAATATATATAAAGATCTTAAATACTCCACAGAAAAACTAATCAAAACTACAGACAAATTTAGTAAAGCAGCAGGATACAAAACCAACAGACAAAAATCAGTAGCCTTCCTATATGCAAACAATCAATCTGAAGAAGAAGAAACTAAGAAAACCATCCCTTTCATAACTGAAACCAAAAAAATCAAATACTTGGGAATAAACCTAACAAAAGAGGTGAAGGACCCATACAAAGAAAACTGTAAGACACTGTTAAAAGAAATAGTAGACACAAAGAAATGGAAAGACATCCCTTGCTCATGGAGTGGAAGAATTAACATTATCAAAATGGCCAGCCTACCAAAAGCAATTTACAGATTCAATGTTATTCCAATAAAAATTTCAGTGACATTCTTCAAAGAAATAGAACAAATACTGTGAAATTCATGGAGCCACAAAAAACCTCGAATAGCCAAAGCTCACCTGACTAAAAAGAAGGAGAATGGAGGTATCACACACCCTGATTTCAAACTATACTATAAAGGCATAATAATTCAAACAGTATGGTACTGGAACAAAAAAACAGAAACAAAGACCAATGGAACTGAACAGAAAACCCAGAAACAAATCCACATATTTATGGACAACTAATCTTTGACAAAAGAGCAAAGGCTAAGCAATGGAACAAGGACAGTTTGTTCAATAAATGGTGCTGGGAAGACTGGACTGCTACTTGCAAAAGAATGAAGCTATACTACTACCTCACACTATGCACAAAAACCAACTCATAATGGATAAAAGACCTGAATGTAAGACCTGAAACCATAAAATATACAGAAGAAAATACAGGCAAAACACTACACGACATATATCTCAGTAACATGTCTAAAGACACATCCCCCGAAGCAAAAAAAGTGAAGGAAAAGATAAACAGCTGGGATTACATCACACTAAAAAGCTTCTGTACAGCAAAAGAGACACGAACCAAAACAAAGAGACACCCTACTGATGGGAGAAAATTTTTGCACACAATACAACTGATAAGGAACTGATCACAAAAATCTAAAAAGAGCTCACATGACTCAACAAAAACAAAGTAAACAATCCAGTCAAAAGCTGGGCACAAGAGCCAAAAAGACACTTCTCCAAAGAAGAAATGCAAATGGCTAACAGATATATGAAAAAATGTTCATCACTTGTAATTAATGCAAATCAAAACCACAATGAGATACCACCTTACACCAGTGAGAATGGCACACATTAAAAAACAGGAAACAACAAATGATGGTGAGGATGTGGCGAAAAAGGAACTCTCCTACACTAATGGTGGGAATACAAACTGGTCCGAACACTATGGAAAGCTGTGTAGAGGTTGCTCAAACTACTAAATCTGGAGCTACCACATGACCCAGCAATTTCACTCGTAGGAATCTACCCAAAGGACACAAAAACATTAATTCAAAAAGATACTTGCACCCCTATGCTTACGGAGCACTATTTACAACAGGTAAGATATGGAAACAACCCAAATGCCAAAAAATAGATGACTGGATCAAGATGTGCTATCTACACACAATGGAATACCATTCAGCAATCAAAAAAAGATAAAACTCATGCCATTGGCAGCAACATGGATGTAGAAAGTATCATGCTCAGAGAAATAAGACAAGAGGGAAAAGAAAAATAACAATGGTTTCACTTAGAGGAGGTGCTGGGAACCAAAAAAGGGATCAGGAAAAAAAAATAATTAAAAAAAAAATGAGCAGGCAACTATAAATCAGAGACATTCTGCGAGGGAGTGGGGAAGAAAAGGGATCAAAACAGGGGAGAGAACAGCGCAAGACTACAGTGATGGTTTACGGGTGAAATGGTGGTGGGAATTTTAAAAGGAATACACAATAATGTAAAAGATATAAATAAAAAAATTAAAGAAAGAAAATGATAAAGTTCTTTGATGCAAATAAGAAAAATCCATTTTAAAGAAATTTGTAAGCCCTTCTGAGTATGTTTGCCTCTTCACTGAAACCGAAACCTACCTTTTTGCACATACTGATCTGCATGACTGCATAGCTTATGAGGGCCTCCTTTAAATCATGGTTCTTTTGTTCCTTGAAGCGTTCAATATCAGCCCAAGCATTTTTCACAAATTCTCTGAAATAAAAGAAAAGTTATTACTATTATTTAAATGAAATAAACTATGTATTCTACATTCAAATAGCCAGTTCTCATTTGAAATGATTTTTGTCTTTATAACGAAAAAGCTATCACTTTTATAAGACAGCTCTATTTTTAACTCTCCCTAAAAATCAGTAGGAGAAAAGGCAGACTAATCATACATTTTTCTCGATTTTAATAACCTGTATTTTTGCCACAAGAATCCCAGCTTCAAATTATTTGTATAATGGATGCTAATGGTTCCTTGAACAAGCTCACAAGTCTGAGAGATGCCGCATGAAGCCGCTTCCTGAGGCCATTGGAAAAAAAAAAATAACACTCTTTTTTGACAAGATGGATTATATATATTTATCATGTTTACATTAAATATATATTATGTATATGTTAAATATATTTATTATGTATTTATTTTAAATGACAACTAGCATTTTAAAAAGTCAGAGACATTTGTCTTTTAAACTCTATTCATAATATTCCACTTTCAATTATTAGGTGTCAAAATAATTGACAAAACCACCTTGAAATTAATGATAACACCCTTGATCTGCATTGGTCTACTACTCTTTGATTATCAGGTGAAAAGAACAATAAGGAAAATAAGCCATACTAATTGCAGATATGTAAGAATTGAATTTCTAGAAATATTTATGAAATAATTCCATGCCAAACCCTCTGCAACATGTTGGGACATGAAGATGAAAAAGATAGTCATTAACTTTGAAGGGCCTCTAAATTATCCAGGAAAAGACACTAAGAACAACTGATCACTTACATAAAACTACCAAGCTGTTACAATAGCCTGTGAGGGTAAGAAAAGGTATCACAAATGAAGTAACACAAGAGTTGGGCACTAAAAAATGAATAGGCTTTTGTCAAATGAAGAAAGGGCAAAGGCAGTGTGTAAAAAGATAGAAATCATGAGAAGTTCAGGAAAAGAATATCATGAAGCTCTTACTCTTTTTTCCACACTAAAAAATTTCTTAGAAATACAACCATGCATGGATAATGAAAGTGAGAATTATTATAAAGAAATATTCTGCCAGACAGTCTACATATTCTGCCAGACAGTCTAGCTTTGTTAAACATCTCAGCATTTTTACCTGCCTTCCAGATTTTTAGACTTCAGCTGTTGTTCTCCTTCACTGATTTGTTCTTCCAGCACCTTTATTCTGGCTTCTCTCTGCTCTGGAGTTTCTTGACCAAAAAGCTTCGTAGTCATTCCCTTCAAAGAAAATGTTCTCACAGTCTAAAAGGAAATGGAAATAGAAGAATGGATAACAAAGTTAAATATATCTATCATATGAAATATTATTCAGTATTAAAAAGGAAATTATGATTTATGCTACAACATAGATGAACTTTGAAGACATTATGCTAAGTGAAATAAGAGTCACAAAGAAGCGCCTCCCTGGTGGCACAGAGGTTAAGAATCAGCACTATGAAGCTATCAGCAGCCACTGCAGCACAAGTTCGATCCCCAGCCAGGGAAGTGACCTACATGGCACAGAAGCCTTCTCCTGTCTCACCCGGTACTCCCCTCAGCAGTGTATTTCAGTATATCCACCTGTTGTGCTCCCCACTCTGTCTCTGGTGAATCCTCTTATCTCCTGCACCTCTGACCTGCACCCCAGCTCTTGCATGCATAAATAAATAAATCTTTATAACAGAACAGGCAGATCGACTGGAATACACTGCTGAGGGGAGCAGCGGGCAAGGCAGGAGAGGTCTGCTGTGCCCTGTGGGTAGCTCCCTGGCTAGGGATTGAACTGCTGCTTCAGTGGCTTACAGCTTTTTAAATGAAGAACACAACCCAAACAATCAGTAAAGTTGCGCCAAAACTATTTCCCTGTAAAAGTTAGAGGCACATGAATATGGCAACTATGGCTCATTCCACAGAAGACTTGCTACAATGCCACCAAAGATCTAAATGGAGAAATACTCACCCCGGTTGCCAGTTCCTCACACTGCTGCTTCTTGGATGCTAAGTCCTGAGCAGCCATCTCCAAGTCATACTGCATAAGTTCATGTTTCCTGCATACAGCCCTAGGAATGAAAGTGCTGTCACTTAATTTTTGCAGCTTCTCTTTTAAAATGGTAAAATTTCTTTTTTTTTCCACATTTATTTAAATTTTATTTTTTATATTCCCCATACAATTACAACCCCCTTATTTTGACCCCAAGCCCTCCTTTCCCCGCCCTCTCGGCCCCCACCCCCCATAGAGTGTCTGGTTCATAGCTGTTTGTTGATTTTGATATTTTCTTTCTTATAGTTATTCATTTCCCTGGTCCCTTATTTAAGTTTTCTAGATTCCTGCTATGAGTGAGACGATCTGGTATTTTTCTTTTTCTTTCTGGCTTATTTCGCTGAGCATGATCCCTTCCAGCTCCATCCATGTTGCTGCAAATTGCATGTGTTTATCTTTTTTGAATGCTGAGTAATATTCCATGGTGTATATGCACCACATCTTCTTGATCCAGTCATCTATTTTTGGGCATTTGGGTTGCTGAGCTATCGTAAATAGTGCTGCTATAAACATAGGGGTTGCAGGTGCTTTTTGGAATTGATGTTTCTGTGTCCTTTGGGTAAATACCTAGGAGTGGAATTGCTGGATCATATGGAAGCTCTATGTTTAGTAGGTCAAGAAATCTACACAGCTCTCCATAGTGTTGGACCAGTTTGCACTCCCACCAACAGTGCAGGAAGAGTTCCTTTTTCTCCACACCCACGCCAACATTTGTTGTTGCTAATTTTGTTTTTTTTTTTTTTCCTTAAAGATTTATTTATTTATTTATACAAGCACTGGGTACAGTCAGAAGCGCGGGAGGGTGAGAGAATTCACCAGAGCCAGAGCGGGGAGCAGAGCAGGCAGGACTGAAGTACACTGCTGAGGGGAGCAGCGGGCGGCAGGAGAGGTCTGCGCACCATGTGGGACCCTCCTCCGGTGGCCGGGGAGCAGCCAGGAATCGAACTGGTGCTGCAGAGGCTGCGGGCAGCTTTGCAACCCAGCACTCAACCGCTGCGCCACCGGGGAGGCCGTGTTGCTAGTTTTTTTAATATGTGCCGCTCTCACTGGTGTAAGATGGTATCTCATTGTAGTTTTGATTTGCATTTCCCTGATTACAAGTGATGTTGAACATTTTTTCACATGCCTGTTGGCCATTTGCATTTCCTCTTTAGAGAAGTTTCTTTTTAGCTCTTCTGCCCATTTTTGACTGGATTATTTCTTTTTTTTTTAAATTTTTTTTATTTTATTTATTTATTTATACAAGCACTGGGTATAGTCAGAAGCGCGGGTGGGTGAGAGAATTCACCAGAGCCAGAGCGGGGAGCAGAGCAGGCAGAAGGACCGAAGCACACTGCTGAGGGGAGCAGCGGGCGGCAGGAGAGGTCTGCGCGCCATGTGGGACCCTCCCTCAGGTGGCGGGGGAGCAGCCGGGGATCAAACCAGCGCTGCAGAGGCTGCAGGCAGCTTCACAGTCCAGCGCTCAACCGCTGCGCCACCAGGGGAGGCCCTTGACTGGATTATTTTCTTTGTTGTTGTTGAGTCTCATCAGCTCTTTGTAGATTTTTGTGATCAGTCCTTTATCATTAGTGTTGTGTGCAAAAATGTTCTCCCAGTGGGTGGGGTTTCTCTTTGTTTTTGTCTCTTTTGCTGTGCAGAAGCTTTTTAATTTGATATAGTCCCAGCTGTTTATCTTTGCCTTCACTATCACTGCTTTGGGTGATGTGTCTGTAAAGATGTCTTTGATGTGCATATCACGTATGTTTTCGCCTGTATTTCCTTCTATGTATTTTATGGTTTCAGGTCTTATGTCTAATTCTTTAATCCATTTTGAGTTGGTTTTTGTGCATGGTGTTAGGTAGTGGTCAAGATTCATTCTTTTGCATGTAGCGACCTAAAATAGTAAAATTTCTTAGGGATATAGGGGAGGCATTCATGTCTCACTAGGGTCAGAACTTACGTACCCAGAACTTATGCACCCATAATGACCTTAGTAACCCAAAATTAAAAATTAGATCTATCCAAACGTGGGCATACAATCTTTGACACAAGAAAGGTGGTTTACTAAATATTTGCAAAATTATTTTCAATAAATGCTTAAAAATATCTGTTGTATTTATGTCAAAGGCAACTGAGTGTCCTTTGAAAAGATATCTCAAAACTTTTTCAAAAAAAAAAAAAAAAAAAAAACCTTTTCTGGGGCCTCCCTGGTGGCCCTTTCATCAGCACTATGAAGCTATCGGCAGCTACTACAGCACGAGTTTGATCCCCAGCCAGGGAGCTACCCACATGGCGCAGTAGTCCTCTTCTGTCTCGCCCACTGTCCCCTCAGTAGCGTAGTTCAGTAGATCTGCCTGCTCTGCTCCCCACTCTGTCTCTGTTGAGTCCTCTCACTCCCTGCACCTCTTGCCTACACCCCAGCTCTTATGTGTAAATAAATAAATCTTTAAAAAAATTTTTTTTCTTTTTTTTAAAAAAGGTCAATTATAAGTTACCTGTATTCATTATAAAAAAATAAGATCCTAATATAAGAATAAAAATTAATAAAAAGTTTCCAAAACCCTCTCTTTTTCCCCAACTCCATGACCAAGAGGTCATCTTTGTTAATATAGAATGTATCTTCCATATACTAGATAGGCATTTACAAATACACTACAGATTCTACTTTTCTTAACTAAATACAAAGAGGTTCTACTTTTCTTAATTTGATACCACAGACATCTTATCATGTCAATACACATTAATCTTTTTTTTTTAAGATTTATTTATTTATATAAGAACTGGGGTAGAGGCCAGATGTGCGGGTGGGTGACGGGATTCACCAGAGTCAGAGTGGGGAAGAGAACAGGCAGACTGACGAAATACACTACTGAGGGGAGCAGCAGGTGAGACAGGAGAGGTCTGCTTCGCCATGTGGGATTCTCGCCAGCTGGCAGGGATCGAACCCGCGCTGCAGAGGCTGTGGATAGCCTCACAGTGCGGTGCTCAACGGCCGGCGCCACCAGGGAGACCCACACATTAATCTTTTCTATAAATTTTTAAGAGTGTACAGAATTCCACTGTATTTGGCAGATTTCCTTTGCTTGGTACTTGAAAATATGGTAGTGAAATATCTTAATGTTCTACACTCTAGAAGGAGAAATAACAACATAAAGATATTTTACAACACTTACTGCTCAACTAAATACTCCTCTATTTTATTTAACAAAATTCTTATACTGCTTTTAAAGTAACAGGAGTTGGGGCCTCCCTGATGGCCTAGGGGTTAAGTCTCAGCACTGTCACCATCCTGAGTTTGATCCCCAGCCAGGGAGTTAACCCACACGGTGCAGCAGATCTCTCCCATATTGCCCGCTGTTCCCCTTAACAGTGTATTTCAGTAAATCTGTGTACTCTGCTCTCCACTCTGTCTCTGGTAAATCCTCTCACCTCCCCTCCTCTCCCACCTCTGGCCTAGACCCCAGTTCTTCTATGCAAAAAAAAGAAAGAATAGACATAAAGTAACAGAAATGTAATCAAAAATGGTTATGACCATTCTTTCCACCTTGAGGAAAATGATTTATTTTGGACAGAAAAAATACAGTAACTTATTCATTAAACACCACTGCCTAGAAAATTCTGTCTGGATTTCTAGGAGAGGCCATAAAAACAAGACAAAGTCCTAGATGTTCCTGATGCCTCACAGTTCTACCTGGGGATTAGAGCAGCCTGGTCTGTTGTGGTCCAGGAGCCCAGGCACTCACCCAGGAAAAGGACAAGGTTCCAGGAAAAAGACAAGGCCCATGGGCCAACCATCAATCCATATCTTGCAAAAAGGAAGGTATGAGAGTGATTGGAGCAGGGGAGAGAGACACGAGAGCTGGGGGTTATGCAGGTGGATTACTGGTGGGGGGGGCGACAGCTAAGGGGAACAGTAACTATAGAAAGATGACCCATAATGTTAAAAAAAAAAAAATATTAAAAAAAATCCTGATGTTCAAATAAAACTGATGTTTTACAGCTTTCCACTAAGATTAGATATGCAAGTGTGGAAATAAAAATCACAAAATAAAATGGCAATACACAGCCTAGTGACAGACAGTGCTATACACATTCAGTATGTATTTTAGTTCCAATCTTCAAACTAAAAAATTAGAACAGGCCTGATGCCTGAGACTGATGGATTTTATCAATAAAATGTCTTCAAAGGCAGGGCTCACCTTACATTTCTAGCCTAGCATTCTGCAACACAGAGGAATTCAATGAGATCTCATTTAATATCTGGCAGAAAGAATTCACTTAAAAAATCATCTTGCAATCTTTATTTTACAGTAGCAAAGACAATGGTGATCAGCCACAGAGCTGCATTTGGAACAAATATACTTACCGCAGTGCCTCTGCATAAAAAAGATATTCCTTTAACTGATCTGCATAATGCTCTTCATCTTCCAAAATATCATCAATAGATGATGCATACCTATTAAAAAAAAAAGATACTGTGTAGGGTAACTTTTATCAGCATATGAAGTATTGATGTTCTCAAGTGTTTTTCAGTGTGTGGTCCAAGACCATTTGCTACCTATCAGTGACAATGCTACAGAAAGTGAGAATAAGCAATTAGAAAATACTTATATTAATTTTTAAGTCACTGTGACACTTATAAAACTTTACCAAACTATTTATATTAGCAATGACTTGGAAATAAAAACAATCCAAGAAAAAATGGTCCTTGGTGGATTAAGAAGCATTGTTAAGACTGTAATATCTTTTTTTTTTTTTTAAAGATTTTACTTTATTTATTTATACAAGCACTGGGTACAGTCAGAAGCGCGGGAGGGTGAGAGAATTCACCAGAGGCAGAGCGGAGAGCAGAGCAGAGCAGGCAGACTGACAAAGTACATTGCTGAGGGGAGCAGGAGGCGGCAGGCAAGGTTTGCACGCCATGTGGGACCCTCGCCCAGCGGCCGGGGATCGAACCGGCGTTGCAGAAGCTGCAGGCAGCTTCGCAACCCAGCGCTCAACCGCAGCACCACCGGGGAGGCCCTGTAATATCTTTTTTAAAAGATATTAGAGCTACAAAATCTATAGAAAGAACAAGAGTTTAGAATAATCAGTGCACAAGTATTCCTGGTAGCAGATATAGACAATAATGCCAGAAAGCTACAAAAGGCAAATTAAAATAAAGATTACAGAAAATTTTATCAGCTGTATTTTATACTAATTCTCAATAGTAAACTCTGCTTTGATGCAGTTAAGTCACTGAATGTCATGCCATTTTCATTTCTGGACTTGAATCTTTCTGAGTACAGCAATGTGATGACTCTCTCTACATTTCTTCTCCAAATTGAGCACATATCTCCAGCAACACATGGAGGTCTCTCAGACAACTTCCCTACTCTATTTCTGATCTCTTATCAATTATTTAGAACTTAAATTTATCAAAGCAATGCTTTGTGTGTTTGTTTTATAGCTCTAATCACATTTAAGTACCATAAGGATGTGGGCTACATCATGTACTACTTTATGATGCAATAAGCACCTTTATTCAAATTAATTCTATTTCCTTGGCAGGAGAATAAAAGAATAAAAATATGCTCTATGTCTCCAGGACTGCTTCATGTAACATGTAAACAAAATTTACTTAAGTTGTAAAATTAAATAAACTTAATTAAAAAGCAACGTATTCATAGGGTTTACGAAAGTAGGCAAAGTACATACTTTGTAAATACAAACTTGCATTTATTTCTCCCATGTGACTGGAAAAAAGCCCTGAGAATCATTGTTAAGAGTAGGAAAAATTGCCTTTAGTTATTAAGTCTATGACTCTGAAAGAATTGTTAAGGAAACAAACAAACAAAAAAAACTGTGTGGAGATTTCTGGACCTACTAAACATAGAGCTTCCATATGATCCAGCAATTCCACTCCTAGGTATTTACCCAAAGGACACAGAAACATCAATTCCAAAGAGCACCTGCACCCCTATGTTTATAGCAGCACTGTTTACAATAGCTAAGCTTTGGAAACAGCCCAGATGCCCAAAAATAGATGACTGGATCAAGAAGATGTGGTACATATATACCATGGAATATTACTCAGCATTCAAAAAGATAAACACATGCAATTTGCAGCAACATGGATGGCGCTGGAAGGGATCATGCTCAGCGAAATAAGCCAGAAAGAAAAAGAAAAATACCGGATGGTCTCACTCATAGCAGGAATCTAGAAAACTTAAATAAGGGACCAGGAAATTGAATAACTATAAGAAAGTGAAAATCAACAAAAATTATGAACCAGAGACACTTTTGTGGGGTGGGGGGGGGAGGGGAGGGATTGGGGTCAGAATGGAGGGGTTGAAATTGTATGGGGAATATATAAAATAAAATTTATTATTAAAAAAAAAAATATATATATAAAAAAAAAGAATGACTATAAGAAAGAAAAAAATCAAAATCAACAACTATGAACCAGAGACACACTATGGGGGTTGGGGGGCGGGGAAAGGAGTTATTGGGGTCAAAATAAGGGGGTTGCAATTGTATGGGAAATTAAAAAAAAAAAACAAAACAGGAAACAAAGGGCTGGTGGCTTGACGATAGGAAAGAGTGTAGGGATAAATGGCACATCCTTTGGCAGAAAGTATAAGTAGTAAAAACTTGTAGATAATTGTAGTTTCATGAGAATTTTTACTGTGAATGGATGTTCAAATGTTTCTTCTGCATATACTGAAATACACATAGGAGTTTTCTTCTTTATTCTGCTAATAGGTGAACTGGATTGAGTTTTGAGTGTTAATCTTGCATTCCTTAGACAAACTTTAAGATCTATGTACATAAAGTATAATATATATGTCAGCAAACTTGACAAAAACAAAGAACAGAAGAATCACTAACATTTCACCACTAAACTTCACCTCAAATTTTACTCTTAAATCCTCTAGTACTTACACATCCATATGATGGCCAGCACTCTGTAGTCCATCACCCATTTCTTTTTCTATGGCACTCCACTCACTAGGAAGATAAAACCAAAAACATCATGTATTAGATATGATATATTGTTAAATGGAATCTTTTTCCTAGCTAGCTATTAAACAATGTACAGTATCTATATTTTGGATTTATTTTTTTGTGATTCAAATATGCTACTTTTCTCTTAAGCTTAACAATTAAATAGAAGTAGAGACTTCAAAATATTAGTTCAAAAGTTGATACCAACTGCTATTAAGGGCAAAGTAAGTATCATACAAAACAATTCCTTTCTTGGGTGAATATCTGAATCAATTGTGGAGTTTTTAGAAAATGGAAGCTGGCTGTGCACTTGATCTACTTAATCAGAATCTCAAGAGATAAAGCTGAGCCATGTATATTTTTAAATGTTCCATGGATGACTGACAAATATACCTGGTTATGGTTACCCACCACTATCTAACAGCTAATAATATAATCAAATAAATATGGGCCATAATTCACATCTCACATTCTCATAAATTTCAGAGAAATCAAAAACTTATAAAACACAAAGATGTAGAAAAAAATGAGATAATGTTTTCTATAATCCATAGTGGGAAAGGCCTTATTAAGATATATACAAAAATCAGAGGCTATTATTTTAGAAAGGAAAAAAACTAATCATTTAGTTAGTGAAATTAATAAATGGGGTATTTCTGCATTCAAAAGCCACCTGAAGTCAAAAGATATGACAAACTAGAAAAAACAAATTGCAAGTCCTTTCTCAAAGTTCTAATTTTCTTAAAAGATAAACAACAACTGTAAATCAGTTAAGAAACCAAACTGCCAACCCAGCAGAAAAAAAGGCAAAAAATACATAGAGTTTATGAAATAGGGAAAATGGCTTAAGGCTGACTGTAAGGAAAAAAATTAATGGTTTCATTCATAACTAGAGAAACACAAATTAGAACTACAGTGAGAAACTATTTCTCACCAGAAGATTGTTGCTTTTTTAAAAAAAAGATTTTATTTATTTATTTTTGCATTGAAGAGCTGGGGTGTAGGCCAGAGGTGTGGGAGTGAGCGGATTCACCAGAGACAGAGTAGAGCAGAACAGGTGGATTATTACTGGAATACACTGCTAAGGGGAGCAGCGGGTGAGACAGGAGAGGTCTGCTGTGCCATATATGGGTTAGCTCTTGGCCAGGATCAAACTCAGGCCCTAGTGATGACAGAGCTGAGACTCCAGATTTGGATAATTTCTAAAATATCACAACCAAAATAATGAAAAACAACAAAAAAAGATTAATAATCAAAACTACAAGTTACACATACAAATATTCTACTTAAAACCAAAATTATCCAGGGCCTCCCTGGTGGCGCAGTGGGTTGAGCGCCATACTATGAAGCTGTCCAGAGTGTCTGCAGCACGGGTTCGATTCCTGGCCGGCCAGGGAGAAACCCACATGGTGAGGCAGACCTCTCCTGCCTCAACCGCCGCTCCCCTCAGCAGTGTCTTTGGTCCGTTTGCCTGTTCTGCTCCCCGCTCTTGTCCTTGTGAATTCTCTCACCCTCCCACACCTCTGACCTGTACCCTAGTTCTTGTATAAATAAATAAATATTTAAAAAAAGACAAAACTAAAATTATCAAAAAACTGAAAAACCCATAGCGCAAAACCCCTCAGTAATTATAAAATGACACACAAAAAGAAAGGAACAAGAAAAATCACTATTTCTATGACTGATTTCTAAAGGGATCTCCTTGGGCATTCTCCCAAAAAAGTAAAAGGCTCTGCTCACAGCTTTAATCAGAGTAGTTTCACTTTTACTGGCTCAATGTATTGGCTTGCCTCACTAGCTTTTATTTAAAGGAAGCTTATAAAACAAAGGTTGAATATCACTAATAAAGTAGTGTTTTTTTTTTTAACAATCTTCTATTTACCAGACTCATAAGTTTTCAAGAATTATAGTTCTCAGACAAAAAAATTAATTAGACCTAATTGTTATTTATTTTAAAAGCCTGTATGATATTTACCTGAAAACACGCCCATAATTTCCATGTACTTTATATACACCATAGAGACGATCTGCTACTCTCTGGAATAAATATTTAAAGAAATTGCTCTTAGGTAAAAGTTATATAGAGATTACTGTTTAAAAAAGGGTGGAACCCATAAAAAAAGCAAATAAATACATGCTTAATACAATACTTACAAAATATGGAAAATAAAAAATTAAATCTCCAAAAAAGTCTCATCATGGGAAAAAATAATTTAATGGTGTCATCATATTTAAGTTATTTATTTACTTTTATACTTCTTTCTTTTTGTAGGTTTTAATTATTGTTTTTAAATTTCTTATGAAGGGCAGTAATAGTTTTATCCAACAGGTTAACATTACATTTTTTTCAGGCTAAGTAATCTATAGCACACTCTCCCACAATGACAATCATTTCATTCTCCTATAGCTCTCACGTAAATTTATTCCCCATGCTTCATAGATTTTCTGAGTAGCTAACTATTAATTTGTTCAATTCATCACTCATCTCTGAAATTCCTGATAAATCTTACTCTATGCTTTGTCCCATAGTTTCTTCTGGGTGTGACTGAGAATTTTCTTAATACCTCGGGTTGTCACATCTCTACCTAACCTCAACTCTCAGAACTGTTACCTTCCCTGCTAAATGAAGTTTTCCCCACTCCTTTCCTTCAATTAGCCTTCAGTCAGCCAGACCTCCATTTTAAGTAGATCCTCTTAAGATCTGGCACAGAAGACAAAGTAGTATGAACTGTTCTTAGGGTCTTCTGGGATGTCTCTGTTCCCCATCTTACTCTTCATAAGAATTGCTGTCTATTTTGTTTGCGTAATTTCAAGGCAACTAAAGGTCTAGAAATTTTACCTCATTAATCCATAGTCCTTTCCAATAGGCAGGTCTTCACTCTAGCCTAATCATTTTCACTATATAAAGAAAGGTTACTATACTTCCCTTTTCCTAGAAAGTATTCCACATTTATTTAAGGAATCTAACGATACTCTGAATGGTTAAATAGGAGATTGGGCCAATGTGAGGATCTTCATAAGGATTTTTATCCCTTATTCTCTTTATTTATACTATTTAAGGAAATTTTCAAACATATAAAAAGCAGAGAATAATAGGACATACTTTCATTTCCCAACACTCATCTTCAGCAATTATTACAAGGTCACTCTATTTTGAGCTAAAAGTACCTCCCACTCTCCACCCTCTACCAGTAGAATCATTATTATAACAAATCTCAGATAATATATTTTATTTCACAAAGATTCCAATTAGCATAAGATGTGATTCTAGACCTTGTAACTTACTGTCTTTCAAAAGCCTTTAGCCAGGCAAGCTGTAAGCATTCCTCTAAGTTACTCCAAAGGACTAGAGTGAATAATACAGCATATTCCAGGTAAATTAATTTACTCAAAAGTATTTTTCTCTGTGTCTGTTATAGTCAAACTATGTGGCTAAGTACAATAATTTCTAGTTCCTTTTCTCATGGCCTATTATTATTCCAAATAAGTTAACTTAGTACAATTTAAGACACATGACATAACATATATAAACTATTTCACAAACCTTAAAAGTCTTGAAAGAATATAATTACATGTAGATATAAAACCACACACTTATGCATTATATTCCAACACTGAAAAGGCAGAGTTTTTGACAAATGTCAAACTCTAGAGAAAACAACAAGCTAAAATTCTTCAAGTTGTTTATGCCAGAAAAACAGTTCACAGGTTTTTTAAACTGCAATTTGGATGAACACACCAAATTTTAATATAAAAATCAGTTATCCATCATAAGTACCATCCATTACTTAAAAACAGTGATTGAATGAGGAGCACACTCTCATAACTGTGTGTCTAAAGACTCCTGGGGATGACTTACAGCTCTGACTCGAAGAAGATGTGAGATGACAGACTGAAGTTCATCACTGTAGTGTTTTAGTTCGGTAAATCTCCTGAAACAGGAAAAAAAAATTTTTTTTTTTTTCATGAAAATAAGTCAAAAACTAAAAGTCAAATAGTAGTTCCTGAGAATGAAACTGACTAGACATGAGCATTTACACACAATAAAAAACTTAAATAAAACCACCATACTTTCTTCTGATATTTTTAAAGTCAAGAAAAGATGTTATACTTCCTAATTTACACTGTGGCACTGAGAGATAAAATTCCTTGGGAAAAATTACCTAAAAACAGGGAAAAATGTATAGTGCTAAAAAAAAATCTTATGGGAAAACCAATCACAAACCCATGATCTCTAACTTCAATCATAATGTTGCTCAATAATCTACTTCCCCAATCTATTAACTTCTATTCTCCATAAAGACCTGAGACTTCTGATGCCATCATCCGTCACATTCCAACCATGCTTCAAAGATTAAATGAAAGCCATCAGATAAGAACTATTTCCACCTTCACTTCTTCCCAGCAAATTTAGAAATTTTCCTATATCTACATCTGTTATTTTTTTCCTTTCTTCTAGAATCCTTCTTTCCAATATTTTAGGTTGTATTCCAGCTACATCCCATAATCCTATGTAACAACATCTTCTCAAGAAGCTCATTAGCCTATCAACTGATTAGATCTAAGTTAAAATACAAACACATTTCCTTGACAACATATCTAACTATTAACACCCTTTCAATATCCATCCCTTTCATAGCCACACTTTGAAAAGTCTTTACCTGTCTAGCAATAACCACTTCTTAGCCTCCACTCATTGCTAACCCTACTACAATCTAGTTTTACTGCCAGCCACTCTGCTGGAGATACATTCCTGACAAAGTCACCAGCTACTTTCATATTGCTAAAGTCCAACAATATACTTTAGGCTTCATCTTACTTGATCCTTTCAGCAACATGAAAGGCTGCCTGGTCCTCATTTAAAATGTATTCCCTTAACATCAGTGTTACTTTTCTCATGATTTTCCTTTTATTCTCTGAGCCCTTTTATTCTCTAAGCCCTCTTTTGAGTACTCACTTCCTTTACCTATCTCTTATCCTCCAACTTTAGTATGTAAAGAACTCCTGTTAAAAACACTACTGAGGAGGGAGGAGCACAGGGGACTGTGGTGATGGTGCACAGGTGCATTGGTGAAGGAAATTCTATGGGGACCACACCTGAGGAGGGGAGCAAACACTGTTTAAAAATGAACAATGTGTAAAAAGTATATAAAAAATAAAAATAAACACTACTGAGGGTCTCTCAGTAAGCAAGGGATGTGAGTAACCACCACAACTGTACACAGAGACTCTTGTGGGTCTCAGGAACCTAAATTTATAACAAGCTTCCCCACAGGATTTAGATGTTTGTAATCCTCATGTTACATTTTGGAAAATGCCATTAAAGTGCTCAGTCCTAAGTCCTCAGCTATCTTACAATCAATTGTTCAATCACACATTCTTATTTGTCATTCTCTAAGGTTCCCGGTTATGGCCTACATGCTACTAAAACACAAATTTCTACCTTCAGCTCAATCTTTTCCTTAAATGCCAGATCTATAAAGTCTACAGACTAGCAGAATTTTGTATTTTTTTGCATATCCAAAGTTCAACTTAATGTCCCCTATCACTCTAAATCTTACACCCCTGTATTCCCTTATCACGCTAAAGAATGAAAGCTGGGTGCTGTCTATTTCCTTTCCTTCTCTTTCACCCCACACGCTGTTAAATTTTTTTAAATTAAAACATTACATTCTAATCACCCAGTCTATCTCCTAAATATTACCCAAATATTGTCTAAATACTGCTACATAAAAAAACAACTCAAGGTATCTTCCTCACTGCTCTAACACTCTAGTTTGAAGAAAGATAAACATGCATGAAGCAAGTATTACTTTGGTAATCCCTGTGAAACAATCTGGTTTTCTAGATTCCAAGAAAATAAAATATTTTAATGGTATATTTTAATAATGGTATGGGCCAGTTAGAACCTAGAACAGAGATTCTATATGTTAAGAATCTGTTATAACAATGACTGATACAGATAATTCTCTTATATAGAACTTAAGGCAAATAAAATTATATTACTAACTACACAGTTTAGCAAAAACTTAGCAGCTACATTTGTAGAGCTGTGAACCTAAACCTCTAAAACATATACAGTTTTGTAAATCAATGTTACTTCAATAAATATTAAAAAACAAAACAAAACAAAAAAAAACCTAGGAGCAAAACCTTACTTTGGTTATACTATTGGTCATATTACCACATTTTAAATTCTATCTATAATACAGATATTTTAAAAAAATTAACAATCTAGAAAGCCTGGTCAGAAAAGAGAAAACCAATATACAACTGACAAAATATTTTTCATTAAATTGAATACTTAACTGACAAAATAAAATATTAATAAAAAAGTCTCATCTATGTGCTCCACTAATGAATGCACACCCAGCAATAATAATAAGCTTTCCCTTTTAGGGTTTTTTCGGTGTGTGTGTGCTTATTAGGCTTTCTAAAGCTGTTTTTGAAGAGTGACAGTTTTAGTTCTTAATACACTATAGAAGCCATTAAACTTTATAAAAATCTCAGTGGAATCCTAGATGATAGGATTACTAAGTGATAGAAGTTAATCTGAAAAGGCTGCATGATACGACATTCTGGAAAAAGCAAAACAATGGAAACAACAAAAAGACCAATGATTGCCCATACAATATACAACACTAAGAGTGAGTTCTAATATAAACTATGAACTTTGGGTAATATATAATGTATCAATAGAGGTTCAGGTTCATAGATATTAACAAATGTATTACCTTGGTGGGGGATGTTGACAGTGTGGGGGAGGGGGTGCACGTATAAGGACAGGAGCTCTGCACTTTCCACTCAGTTTTGCTATCAATCTAAAACTACTCTAAAAAGTAAAGCCTATTAAAAATAAAAAGATACCTCAATGGTTACTATCACAATTCTCTAATTTTTGAAATATTTATTTTCATTTTATATTCAAAATTTACACTGAAAACAAGGCTAATTATGTTAACATGTTATGGCTTATAAAGTTAGACATAATAAATTATTGGAATTTATCTGCTAAGAATTTACACTATGTAGAAATTATTGCTGACGGCCTAACTAAAGAAATTCTAACAGATTTCATAGACTTGGTCACCAAAAATGGAAATGCCTCATATGCCTAAGCACTTTCCTAACTGAAAAACTTAGCTAAGCCAAATCCCAAGTAAAGATCCGTATAACAAAGAGCCTGAGCTATCCACCAAATTCAGAGAATGAGCAAAACTAAAATTTTAAGTAATACCTAGCCCCATCCTAAGGAAAGGTGTTCTGAATACAGTCTTCCTTTAACATGGAAATGCTCTCACAAAAACCAAAAAGACATTAATGAAGTCAAGTAATTGTCATATAAATGCATTTCCATGAAACTATTATAATGTATTTTTATACATTACTTGTATATATTTGTATGTATTTGACAAAATCATATAAGAAAAATTATTTTCTATGAAATTAAAATAATTTTCCTATTTTTTTCTAATAGCTTCAACAATAACTAATAAATCCTTGTAGGAAAAAGTGTTGGTTTAGTTTTCTAAAAATTCACCAACTTTAAACCCAATTAAGGTACCATATTTCAAAATCAGTTTCAGACTGTAAAAGGATTTCACTAAATGTGATTTAAAATATTCAGCAAATAAAAGTGCATACATTCAGAAATGAAAAATTAAATAGATAAGCACCACTCAAAACAACACTATAACTGTTATTAAAACAAAACCTTACTTGTCTGGGTTTTTCACTCTGAATGTTGCATTAAGCGCTTTTAACCTGGAGTCTGCCTGGAAAAAATAATTTGTTCACTTAATACAATTACATTTCAGGGTATAAATCCAAACAGTTTTACTTTTCTTCTAGAATTAAGATGCTCAAGTGTAATCTTCTTCATATCACTTATGACAAATACATTAAACATATCTAGAAAGACCCAACTTGGTTATTTCTGAAAATACTACAAAAATGTTATAAACTAAATACATTCTAAGTAAAACAACTGTAAAAACCATCATGCTAACAAAGATATAGGTTTGCATACTTTAAATAGTTTGTGTGAAAAAGCAACTTTCTTAGATTGAATTCAAATCAAATGTACCATGGTTTTTCTCACTTTCATGATAAGTATTTTAGACAAGAAAGAAACATGGAAATTCCAGTAGTAATGTACTAAAATAAAACAAGCTATTTGACATCAAATTACTCCTAGCTGGCAGAAAATGTTATAAACAAAACTTTTAAACTATCTTTATTTCTGTATGATTGATTTCCAGGAGGGAAAGAGGGATAAACTGTAAAATAAAAATTGTATTGCATACTTAATTATACTATCCTAAATTCTCATTTGTAAACAAAGACCAAATCACCTTTCTGACCCAGGTACATAAATTTAGGGTTCATACAAGATAACTCAGGAATCAATCTAATGATATGATGTGATTTTGAAAATCCTAATAAGTTTGAAAATTTACATTATTTCCACTTTCAATCCATAATGATATATATTCAATTACTTGATGAAGAAAATTTTTTAAATGCAACACTCTACTCTATAAACTCATCCTAGAACTTCAAAAGAAATTCAAAGATCAAGAACACCTAATGAAGCTTAATTTATTACTGATTTTAGGAGACTCTCCTATTGTTAAAACCAATATTTCATCAATTCATGACCTTTATTACATCTCAAGGGCAAATGAGCTAATGCATGTGAAAGCCATTACAAATAAAAGCACCTATGAATTTAAGGCATACCTGTGTTAAGTGGCATATAGTAGACAAATGCATTAGGTTCTTTAATTAAAATCACTAAGTACCCAAGTGTTAATGACTGTATGCAAATGTGATTCTTTAAACAGGAATAAAATTATATAAAAATCATCAGTAAAGAAGAAAAGTTTCATTTATACATTTTCTTGAATTTCATACTTTTTAATACCACTAATTTTTTTCATTATCATCCTATTTTTTTTCAGTATCACCAATTTACCAACTTAGAAGTCATATAAAATGTAAAATGTCACCTTCTTAATCTCTGCTATTGTCAGGTCAGATCCATCACACATTTGCTCATCATTTCATAAGACTTCATCAATAGAAGCCACCTAAAGTATCACAATACCAGAAACTTCTCCATAAAGCTTCTCCCTAAAGTCAGATCTCTTAAAAACTACCCGAACACTTTCAAATCTGACAAGTTACCATTCTTCCTATTGGATTCCCTATTAAATATCTAAAGCTTAAATATCTAAATCTTACATCATTTCATATGATCCATTTTATTATTTTTAACAGTCCTATCTGAAATAGTTGTTTCCTAGCTGTCCACTAATATATTAAGATCCACAAAAAAAGTACAAGGTGAATGGTGCACCCTGGAATTGTACAAGGAGGTGCCACAGCAGTACTTTAATATGCTTTGTTCATTGCTGTATCCCCAATGCCACACAAAGCCTGGCACAAAATAAACATACAATACATATTGGTTGAATGAAAAAAATAACCTCAATTATTCTATACCCCCAATTTTACATTTTCCATTAATCCCTACCTCTTCTCCCATTACCAATTCCTATTACATACTTTCATTTTCCTTGTCCTGGACCTTGTTTTTCCTTTGTTACTTCTGATTCTAATTTCTCCCCCAAATCTTGCCTAGTAAACCATATCCAGAATGAGCTGCTCTCTAACATTCTTCTTTCTTGGCCCACAATGTTGGCTCTACTGCAGGTTTTTTAATGACATTCTCTCTTCAAGCATGTGACCCAGTTTGCCCAGGACAGCTCTGGTCTGTGTCTGTCATTCAAGTTTAATTAATAATAGTGCAAATCAAACATGACATTTGGACAATGAATTTTATGGTTACCTATCTCAAAATAACCAGTAGAGGGGCCTCCCTGGTGGCACAGGGGTTAAAGTCTCAGTGCTATCAAGCTATCACCAGGCACTGGCATGAGTTCAATCCCCAGCCAGGCAGCTGACCCCTCTGGCACAGCAGACTTCTCCTATGTCACCAGCTGCTCCCCTCAGCAGTGTATCTCGTATCACCTGTTCTGCTCCCCACTCTGTCTCTGATGAATCCTCTCACCCCCAGCACCTCTGGCCTACATGCCAGTTCTTATATGCATAAATACATAAAAATAAATCTTTAAAAATAAAAATAACCGGTAGAAAAACAATCCCTGCTATAATATTCTTTCACCATGGTGCTTTATTTCCTTTATACCACTTGTAACTATTTTAAAGTATACTATTTAAATACTAAAGTATCCAACTACCAAGATAGAAACTCCATAGAAATATGGAATTTATGAATGTTTCCAGCTCACTGACTATCATATCCACAGCACCTAAAAAAGTACCTAACCCTTTGGAGGACACCCAGCACTTGGATTCTCCACACTGATTCTCCGAGTTCCTGTACAATATACAGATTAGCAGAGATCCTAAAAACCAAGATCATGCCTCTTGGTAGTCCAGCTCCAAGCAACAGTGTTCTAGAGTCTTCTGAGCCAGCCTAAAATTCATTTAAGATGTGGACACAAGGATGACAATTTCATCTAAATAACTTACTGAGCTAACTGAGTTAAAATATTACTTTATACTGAAGTAACCAGTTTTATATGTTCATTAATCTACATATATAAACTCTTTCCTTTTCACTGAATATATGTAACATGAGTATTATATATAAATATTCAAGAAAAAAGAAAGCAATGAAAAGATCTTTTGTTCATAGATATATTAAAAGTGGAGCACTAGAAGTCTCCCTGGTGGCACAGGGTTTAAAGCCTCAGCACTATCAAGCTATCACCAGCCACTATGGCGTAAGTTCAATCCCCAGCCAGGGAGCTAACCCACATGGTACAGTAGACCTCTCCTTTCTCACCAGCCACTTCCCTCAGCAGTGTGTCTCAGTAGAGTGGCCTATTCTACGCCTCACTCTTGTCTACGGTGAATTCTCTCACCAACCCCCAGACCTCTGGCTTACAGTTCTTGTATGCATAAATAAATTGAATCTTTAAAAAAAAAAAAAAAAAAAAAGAGCACTGATAAAAAAGAAACTCATTTTTTATAATTATCTTTCCAGGTGAATTAATTACTCTAAAAAGATTTAAGAACATATTAATCTAGTAGGCCCATTCCATAATTAAATTAAACATGCCTGGAAAAAAGGAAACTGATATTTCAATTTGAGAATGACAATCAAATATTCTTAAAAAATATTAATATTTGGTCTGACTCAGAATGATTGTATTTTCACTAAAATACCATTTCCAACATTTCCTTTACCAACTGTCTTAACTTACCTTAATTACATTTCTAGTAAGTAAAAGGTAATACGGGATGGTAATTTTTGACTTAAACCTAGACTTAAGATTTAGCCTCCATCACTTGTAACTATTTGACCTTGTATAAGTCACTTTCTATGCTTCCTCATCTAAAAAACTGTATGTAATATTGACTAACCTCAAATGTACTAAGGCAATAATCAGAAATATATACACATATATATTAAAGTGTTTAGCACAGAGCAAACACATAATTATAATGGTTGTGATATTCAGATAAGATACTGCTTTCAAGTTTAAAAAAATTTTATTTAACATTTTTGACACTTTCTAAAATTACCTTCTTAAAAAAAATTATCTATCTCCTTACAGCAAAGGTTCACTTAGAGCAAGTTTTAGGTTGGGAAGAATCTGTGTATGTGGGATGAACTCTAGGATTCAGTATTTTGAATAAACAATCTCAACAAATTCAGATGCACGAAGTCCACTCTATGCTTTAAGAAATACTGTAATGAAAAATTAAAAAAAAAAGCAGTTGTAGACTTTAAGAAAAAAAAACACTGAGTTGGGCCTCCCCGGTGGCGCAGCGGTTGAGCGCTGGGTTGCGAACCTGCCCGCAGCCTCTGTGGCGCCGGTTCGATCCCCGGTTGCTCCCCAGCCACCGGAGGAGGGTCCCACATGGCGCGCAGACCTCTCCTGCCGCCCGCTGCTCCCCTCAGCAGTGTCCTTCGGTCCTTCTGCCTGCTCTGCTCCCCGCTCTGGCTCTGGTGAATTCTCTCACCCTCCCGTGCTTCTGACTGTACCCAGTGCATGTATAAACAAAACAAACAAACAAATAAATAAATATAAATAAACATGCCTCTATAAAAAAAAAAAATGTTACAGTGGCATATTTAAAAAAAAAAAAAAAAAAAAACACTGAGTTAAGAGTATAGTTACACAGCAAGCATAATTCAACCTTTTCTTCAGACCTCAAGGTATTTACTATAAAATACTAAACTCATTAGTGATATAATGAAGCCATAAGACCTACATGGGGGTAGTGTGTGGGGGTATGGTTGCATGCGAAATATCCCCACACTGCAGTGTCTGGCTGTTGTATCATTGTTTCTTCACAGCAGGTTCAGCTATCAAGTGTCATGATTATCACAGGATGCCTGTGTCCATTAGTATTTAGATCTTTCAAATTTTCTTTTAATATGCTGTAACCTAGAAAATAGTCAAGCTTGGTTGAACAGCTATAATAAAATTAAGTGGGTCCTCCTATCTGAAAGAACCATGTCACATTACTCAAACATTTCAGCAATTAGTTTTGCTTAAATTTAAATTCCAGCTTTAAAATGGGATCAGGTATCAAATGCCCAAAAATAGATGACTGGATCAAGAAGATGTGGTACATATACACCACGGAATATTACTCAGCATTCAAAAAAGATAAACACATGCAATTTGCAGCAACATGGATGGAGCTGGAAGGGATCATGCTCAGTGAAATAAGCCAGAAAGAAAAAGAAAAATACCGGATGGTCTCACTCATAGCAGGAATCTAGAAAACTTAAATAAGGGACCAGGAAAAAGAATAACTATAAGAAAGAAAATATCAAAATCAACAAACAACTATGAACCAGAGACATTCTATGGGGGGTCGGGGAGGGGAAAGGAGAGATTGGGGTCAAAATAAGGGGGTTGTAATAGTATGGGGAATATAAAAATAAAATTTAAATTTAAAAAAAAATGTGATCAGGTTAGGGGCCTCCCTGGGTGTAAGACCTTAAGTCTCAGCACTACGAGGCTATCGGCAGCCTCTGCAGCACAAGTTCAACCCCTGGCCGGGGAGCTGACCCACATGGCATAGCAGACCTCTCTGTCTCGCCCACTGCTCCCCTCAGCAGTGTAGTTCAGTAGATCTGCCTGTTCTGATCCCCACTCTGTCTCTGGTGAATCCTCTCACCTCCCCACACCCCAGCTCTTGTATGCAAAAATGAAAAAAGTAAATAAATCTTTAAAATGTGATCAGGGGACCTCCCTGGTGGCAGAAGGGGTTAAGATGCAAACCATGAAGCTATTCATAGCCTCTGCAGCACGAGTTCAATCCCCCGGCCAGTCAGGGAGCAACCCACATGGCATAGCAGACGTCTCCTGACTCGCCCGCTGCTCTCCTCAGCAGTGTATTTCAGTCAATCTGCCTGTTCTGTTCCCCACTCTGTCTCTGGTGGATCTTCTCACCATCTGCACCTCTGGCCTGTGCCCCTGTTCTTACGTGTATAAATAAGTAAATCTTTAAAAAAAAAAATGTGATCAGGTTAGTTTGTGACTACCAAATACATGGCGTCCAGAGAAATGAAATGCTATTGTATTTATGCATGTATGTGGACAACCTCACATGGTATGCTTGTATGTGTGCATGCATGTACATACATATGTATGAGAGATTCTATTTCCTTGATGAAAGGAAGGACTCAAAAAATAGCCATAAAAAAATAAGGAAAACAATAAAACACATGTTGTTTCCAAATTCTCTGCATACATTTTATTTCTGGTTCATTTCATTAAAAGTCTGACTTTTCAAGTTATTAATATTATAAATTAAGTATCGCCTTTCAAAGACTTTATGAAAGTGATAAAAACTTTATCATAAGACTACCAAAAAAAGAAACATTATAGCCAAACTCTTAAGTAGCACCAACACACAAGATTCAAAATACTCATATAGTCTTATACTGATGGAGAAATTCAAGAGTTTTCTCAAGATCATAAAGTTAAAGCCAAAAACTGGGTTTAAGGACAAACAACTGACAACTAGTTACTAAACTAATAGCTGAAACTTTTCAAATTTTCTACTAGATATAAAGACATTACCCATATAATTATATTTCAGTTTGCTCTTTATCAGCTCCTAACACCTTGGACTAGTTCTCAGAAAACCCTACCAAAATACAGTATTTTAAGTTTTGAGTTATTTCAAATCCATCTCTAAATCAAAATTCCAGTAATCTCTCTGAGCACCATAAAATATTGAAATATACCCAAGAAAATTCTAAATTTTTAAATAAAAAATTAAATTAAAAACCAAAAAAATTCGAAATTTTTCATGTAACTGGTCAATATTCATAAATTAGAATCAGTCTATGAGAGAATTAAACACTTGATTACAATTCTGTGTAGAAAAAAATTTTCCTCTTCCTAGTTTCTTTTGTGCTAAATTTCATTTTGTTTTTTTAAAGATTTTATTTATTTTTATACAAGAACTGTGGTATAGGCCAGATGTGTGGGAGGGTGAGAGGATTTACCAGAGAGAGGGTGGGCAACAGAACAGGCGGACTGAAAAAATACACGGCTGAGGGGAGCAAGGAGAGACAGGAGAGGTCTGCTTTGCCATGTGGGATTCTCACCAGCCGGCGGGGAATGCAGGGAATGAACCCGCGCTGCAGAGGCTGCGGACAGCTTCATAGTGTGGCGCTCAACAGCCTGCGCCACCAGGAAGGCCCCTGTGCTAAATTTCAAATATTCAAATGCCAGTGCCTAAGTCTCTAAGGGGTATTTTTAAAAATCCTGTAAAGATATTTTGTTCTTCTTGTCTATATCTGTTGAACTTTTGTTAATGTATTAAATTCCAGTCATTTATCAATTTATAACCTATTTCTCTCTTCACCTACTTGGTTTACATAAAAGAGGAAAACTTTCTAAAATCTGTAAAAACCAGTACTATACTACTTTTGGGTCCAATGGGGAGAGCAGAATGGAATTAAGGTAGTCATCCTGCTATCACTATGCTCTTCAATTTACAAGTAACAATTTTATTCTCAAATACTGATTCTAATCACTAAATTTGAAATGTTGTATAAAACCAAGTAAGTGTGTATTACTAAAAGATATTAATTCAAAACTAGCCCACCCGAAGCTAGTCACCAAATCCCAGTAAAAGCATAACTAATGACTCATCCCAGAAAACATGAACTTGGTTCTTCCTAAGTATCTTTCATTTCTGATTTTAAAAAGTGAGCAACAATTGCGGGGGTGGGGGTTACTATGAGTGGCAGTGGCTAAGGACAGAGTGAAGAAAAAAAGATACAAAATAAAATATACATATACTATAGGAAAAATCTATCTCTTGTCTCTAAATTACTGTTTCAAAAATGTTCTTTTTCAATAGAATTTAATTAATAAACATGCCCATTATGTCTCACTAGTGAAACTAAATCTACTCAAATCAAAAGTAAATTGCAGTGTTCCTTTAAAAACTTTAAATGCAAACCCTATTTCCAATATTCACTCACTCAGTAAATACAAGTACCCAGTGCATGACATTAGGCTGAGAACTGTAAAAGAACACACACAGCAAATTATTTTATGCAAATATTCTTACCTTCAGCTGAAACCCAGTTTCACTCACAGTCTCCTTCCAGTTACCTTCCTAAAAATTAAGTTAGTTTTAGAAGTCATCATAAAACAAAACAATCCATAAGGAATATTCCTAATCAAATAAGTTAAATACGTATTGTTCTATTCTTTTTTCAAGGTAGATGGAGAGAGATGTTAAAAAAAGAGAATTTTTCACTTCAAAATGAAACATATAATCAGATTCCAAAAGAGACCTAAGATTTTACAGGTCTGGGGCTCAAAAAAAACTAAAAACTGGGCCTCCCCAGTGGTGCAGCGGTTGAGCGCTGGGTTGCGAAGCTGCCCGCAGCCTCTGCAGCACCGGTTTGATCCCCGGCTGCTCCCCAGCCACCAGAGGAGGGTCCCACACAGCGAGCAGACCTCTCCTGCCACCCGCTGCTCCCCTCAGCAGTGTACTTCGGTCCTTCTGCCTGCTCTGCTCCCTGCTCTGGCTCTGGTGAATTCTCTCACCCTCCCGCGCTTCTGACTATACCCAGTGCTTGTATAAATAAATAAATCTTTAAAAAATTAAAAAAAAAAACTAAACCTAATGACTGTAAATGACTGTATCATTTAAGTGACATAAGTGGCAGACAAAAGTACTACTTTTCTTATTTTTAAGTATGAAGATGTTAGACAAAAGAATAATTTTGAAATTCAAAACAAAACAAAGACATGCATATAAATTAATGAAGCTGCTATAAAAGGATCCTTGAGAATAAACACATTCTATAGTTTAAAAGAAACTAAGTCAAGTGAATTTTTAAAAACACTAAATAAGATAAATATACCTGTGTTAAAAACAAATAGAAGATTTTGTCTCTACAAAGGATGGGATGTGAAGCAACTCTTAGGAGAAAGTTTTCTAAACCAATTCGTCGTCTTTCCACAAAATCTGGGTCCATATTGTCAGCAGAGAGTTTATGCCAAACAAATTCTGCCTAGGTAAACAAAATGATCATGAAAAATAGTCTTAATGCTAAATACTCCTAAATGATACTGACATTTCACTTCTTACCCTTTTTTCTGGTAGAGGTGGCACAACAATATGTGGATAGTAAACTAAAAGGTAGTTTCTCAACAACTCAAATTCACTATACCGCCTCCAAAGTGAGTCTGTTAGGACACTCTGACCATCAACATCTTCAACTGACCTGAAAAGAATGAGTAAGATTTCAATTATTTTTAAAATATATAATACATGTACATATACCTTTAAAATTTATAATTACATTTATAAAATGCTTATGAACCAGGCACAGAATGAAGAACTTTTCATGTATTTTATTTAACTTACCACAACCCTGAGAAGCAGGATTATTGTCCCCATTTTATAGGAGGGTAAGCACCTATAGTGTATGCTCTTCCTAAAATCACAAAGATCTGTGAATAGTAGAGCACTCAAAATCCATTTCATTCCAAAGCCCTTGATCTAATTAATCAATTTGTCATAAATAACCTATTTGAACTCAAAAGAAATAACCATATTAGCCTTCAGCAGTATATTTCAGTAGATCTGCCGGTTCTGCTCCCCACTCTGTCTCTGGTGAATCCTTTCACATCCCGCACCTCTGGCCTGCACCCCAGTTCTTGTATGCATAAATAAATAAATCTTTTTTAAAAATAACCATATTAGGAACATTCTAAACACTCAATGTATAATAATTCAGTTAATATACAATAACTAATTTTGCAATATAGTAAAATCTGGTTTAGCTAGTCTTTCATAATAAAAGTACTGCACTTCTGCCACAATGAAAGAATAACATTCTTTTTTTTTTTTTTTTTAAGATTTATTTATTTGTGCATACAAGAACTGGGGTGTAGGTAAGAGGTGTGGGGTGGTGAGAGGATTCACCAGAGACAGAGTAAGGAGAAGAACAGGCAGATTTACTGAACTACACTGCTGAGGGGAGCAGCGGGCGAGACAGGAAAGGTCTGCTGCACCATGTGGGTTCGCTCCCTGGCTGGGAACGAACTCAGGCCTTAGTGGTGATACTTAACCCCTAGGCCATCCTGGTGAGATAGAATTGCTTACTCCATGATTTACTTGTCTTTTCAACTTTACTCAAAAGCCTTAAGCTTAAATCTAAATGAATGTGTTTTTGTTCATTTTCTCTGTAATTTCCAACTTTTCTAAAATGATTTAGATGTATACCTCCTCTTAGACTTCCTTGTTAACCACTTCCATTTCACAGACCTTTCACAGTCCCTGAGAACCAGGTATCCTTGACCAAAATTGCACAGGGATTATATCCCACACCCAGAACGCCTCCAAAGCATGGGTCTAATAACATTCCAGATTCTGAAAGTAGTCCCCTAACTTTTCCTCTCCCCTGAAAATAAGTACATTATAACATAGCTTTCAAGAGTACCATAGTAAAAGAAATATCTATTTATTTTACCTGTTAAAAAGAAACAAAAAAAATCCCTAAAAAGATAATAACCTGTAAACAATTCTGTTATACAACATCATTTGCATTAAAGCTTTTTCTACTTAAACCTAAGTGCAAATCTCATCACCTACCTTGTTTCAATGAGGTAAGCGGTATATGTTTCTTGCATATTCATGGCATTTCTTCCAGTTCGCTTTTCTGCTTCTGAAACACTAATTTCTATCTTTTTCAACGAAAAATTATTTTCTGTCATCTGGACAAAAACAAATGGAACAACAACAAAAAAATTTTAAAATGGTATTAAAGAACAGCTATCATAATAAAATTTATTACTGGTACAGACTTCAAATGAGTTTCTTGAGATGGTAGGGGTTTCTAAGTGATAATACCAGGTGTTATATGCCTGCCTTTTATCAGCATACTGTGGCACATTAAACTTTTTCCAGAAGCTTTTTTTTTAATTTAAATATTTTATTTTATATAATTCTTACATCTTTTTTCATCTTTGCACAATGTATGCATTTTCATTTTGGTTATATTCCCCATACAATTACAGCCCCCCCCCCCTATTTTGACTCTAGTTCTTCCTTTCCCCGCCCCTCCCTCCCCACCCCACCCCATAGTGTGTCTCTGGTTTATAGTTGCTTGTTGATTTTGATTTTTACTTTATTATCATTAGTCTTTTTCCTGATCTCTTATTTAGGTTTTCTAAATTCCTGCTAGGAGTGAGACCATCCGGTATTTTTCTTTTTCTTTCTGACTTATTTCACTGAGCATGATCCCTTTGAGCTCCATCCATGCAGCTGCAAACTGCATGTGTTTATCTTTTTTGATTGCTGAGTAATATTCCATGGTGTATATGTACATCTTCTTGATCCAGTCATCTATTTTTGGGCATTTGGGTTGCTTCCATAGCTTAGCTATTGTAAATAGTGCTGCTATAAACATAGGGGTGCAGGTGTCCACAAGCTTTTTGACAGATATCCATTTAATTATTAAAATGTAGACATTTCATATAAGTGATCAAGAATAAGTCTATATATAAATGCATAAGAACAAAATCTAAAAACGTTTATACAAAATGAATGGCCCTCAATACAGAAATCAAATCTCTTTCTCAAATTAAAATAATAAACATAAGCTAAAAGGCAAGGTTTTCAGCAGGCAGTTTAACTAAAAAAACAAAATAAAAGGAGTCATCTTATATTCAAATTTAAAAGACTAAATTTTTTGACAGTAATAGTAGGTGACATCCAGGAGACAGCAATAGTATTTAAGAACAGAATCCTTTCTTTTCCTGCTAGACTATCCTCAAGCATGTGTCAAAGGACCAAAAAGAACAAAAAAGTGGACCTCCCTAGTGGCGCAGGGGTTAAAGATACAGCGTTATCAAGCTATCTGTAGCCACTGCAACATGAGTTTGATCCCAGTCAGGGAGCTAATCCACATGGCCTAGCAGACCTCTCCTGTCTCCCCCGCTGCTCCCCTTAGCAGTGTATTTCAGTAGATCTGCCTGTTCTGCTCCCCATTCTGTCTCTGGTGAATTCTCTCACCACCCCACACCTCTGGCCTGTACCCCAGTTCTTGTATGCATAAATAAATCTTTAAAAAAAAAAGTATCTATCATTGGTGTTCTTGGCTGTATGTGTAAAAAGTGCACCACTGAGCAAGAGTCTTTAATATATCCAAACTAGCTACAAATTCAAGCAAAGACAAAGCAAAACTATGTGATAACTGCTGTTTTGATTTCTTTTTCCCTTGCTCACTTTGAAAATTCTGAGGTGGATTTTAATTAAAAACACTACACTACATGGTAATTAGGAGCAGTTTGTGAAGAAAGATATACGTAAAATGATGGATACACCAAAAGGTCAAAGAAAAAGCTATAGTAAAACCCATTGTGATAATTTACACCAAAAATTAGGTGCTATGAGGACAGAAAAGGTTATATGTGGGTATAAAAGTTAAATCAATAATGAATAAAAATGATACTTAGGAAGCATCCCCCAAAATGCTGAAGGAATACAGAGAAGGTAAAAATGCTAAAGGAAGATAAAAAGGACAGAGAACTAACAACCAACCCAATGGAATGGTATAATTATTTGTAGACAAAAACAGGTATCACTTGGTTATCAAACAACATATGTTTATAAAGTCTAAGTGGTATATTTATGTCCTAAGAGAGAAAATAAAATAGGAAGAAATCATTCAATCAAAAGAAAACTCAAGAAATTACATAAGCACCAAGCACTCAATATCAGAATTATGACGCCATCATTGGTTGAAATATAGATGTTAAAAATATGTAATATGGGCCCAAAGTCAAGCACTAAAATTTACCACCACTTACTCGAGTGAAAATTCCCTGAAGCACATGAAGGATAAAGCAAATAATCTCCCACCCCCAAAGATAATGTATATGAGTCATGAATTTGCCCTGTTGTGCCATCCAATTACATACAAAAAATTCTGACAGCGTGAAAGCTAAAGAATGAAAACAAGGGGCCTCCCCGGTGGCGCAGCGGTTGAGCACTGGGTTGCGAAGCTGCCCACAGCCTCTGCAGTGCTGGTTCCATCCCTGGCTGCTCCCCGGCCACCGGAGGGTCCCACATGGCACGCAGACCTCTCCTGCCGCCCACTGCTCCCCTCAGCAGTGTACTTCAGTCCTTCTGCCTGCTCTGCTCCCCGCTCTGGCTCTGGTGAATTCTCTCACCCTCCCGCGCTTCTGACTGTACCCAGTGCTTGTATAAATAAACAAACAAAGAAATAAATCTTTTTAAAAAAAATGAAAACAGGTAAACAACATTAATATCAGTAGTGGTAGATGGTATAAAGTTGCTTATTCTGTCAACATTAAAGCACAGAACAATGCCAATTAACACAACTGATACCTTAATTTTTAAAAGGACATATTCAGCGGATTTAGAAATGAACTGACTTGATGACTAGAAGACCAGGGACATGTTTTAAAGAGGGATAACAATATTTCATATGTATTCAAAGTGGACTTCTCATAAAGTTGTGGGAACATTTAATGAGTTAACATATGCAAAAAGTTTTAAGATATGTGTAGAATACAGCAAGAGTATTACCTATTTATTTGTTACTACCTATTTACGTGTTTGTTATTTGTGGGTTTAAATTTTTCTGATTATTAATATACATGCTTAATATATAAAATTCATAAGTACAGTAAAAGATTACGTAAACATAAATCACCTCTATCATACAGTCCAGCACTAACCACTGTTGACCTGTACAGCAGGTTCCCCAACCATTTCATTCAATGGTTGTTCTGTTACTATGTCCCTGCAAAAAAAGTAATCCCAGCCAATTGAACAAAACATTATTTGTTCATATGTAATAGTTTCATGTTATAGTTTCCAGAAACCTATAAAGTTAGTAAGGACTTATTGTATTTAGAATTTTGTTCTATGTGTGATGTTGTTGTGTTACTGAAGTAGGTCAGAGATTTAAAGTTTAAAAACTACGCATTGTGGAAATACAAATTGTTGCAACCATTCTGGAAAACAGTATTCCTCAAAATATTAAGAATAGAAATAACATATGATCAGTTATACTATTTCTGGGTATTTATTCAAAGAATATGAAAACACTAATTTGAGGAGATCTCATGCACCCCCATGTTCACTGCAGCATTATTCACAATAGCCAGAAGCCAAACAACGTAAATGCTCAACAGTGGATGTGTAGATAAAGAAGATGTGTTATACATAGTCACGCATCATGTAATGACAAAGATACCTTCCCCAAAAATGAGCAGTTAGGTAATTTTGTGAGTGTGCAATTTTTATAGAGTATTAGGTATAGAGTAAATTTTTTAGAGTATTAGAGTATTTTATAGTCTACTACACACAAACCTAGGTGGTATAGCCTACTACACACCTATGCTATATGGAAAAGCTACCACTGTCACATAATATGGTTAAGCAAAGAATGACTGAATACACAATGGAACACTACTCAGCTATTTAAAAAAAAATCAAATCCTACCATTTACAACAATATGGATGGACCAAGAGTGTGTTATACTAAGTATAATAAATGGAGAAAGACTAATACCATGCTTTTACTCATACAGTAGATAAAATACAAATGAGCAAACTAACAAAACCAAAACTTTTAGACTATGAATACAACATAATGGTTACCACAAGGGAAGGGGGACCAGAAGTAGGTGAATGTGGTAAAAGAAATGAGTTGTACTGTGATGGATACAGACTTTTAGTCCCAAACATAATGCAGTATACACAGATTTGATTTATAGGACTATATACCTAAGGCCTCTGTAATGTTATAAACCAATGTTACATAAATTAAAAAAACACTGAATTTACTTTCTTTATGGGATATGTCTACAACAGTCAAACATAACTGGTATTGGGCCTCCCTGGTGGCACAAGGGGTTGAGCACCACCCTATGAAGCAATCCGCACCCTCTGCAGCACGAGTTCAATCCCTAGCTCGCCAGAGAGCAACCCACATGGCGCAGCAGACCTCTCCTGTCTCGCCCATTCCGCTGCTCCCCTCAGCAGTGTATTTCAGTCGGTCTGCCTGTTCTGTTCCCCACTCTGTCTCTAGTGAATCTTCTCAAACACACCCCTGTATCTCTGGCCTGTACCCCAGCTCTTGTATGCATAAATAAATAAATCTTTAAAAAAAAAAAAAGTAACTGGTATTATGTCAAAAAGTACTGCGTTAACTTAGGCCTAATAGTGACGTTTACTTCAGATGTAGAACTAAGAAACTAGGTTATAACACAGGATGTTTAGTTGTGCTGTTTATCTATGAAAACATATTTTTCAGCTAACACAGCTATCCAAAAAAATGTAAAGTAAAACATGATGTTAATTTGAAGTTTCATGATTATGAAATTAACTTAGTAGGTTATGACCAATATTTATTTTTTATGAAAAGGAACAGAAAAATATCAAAGCACTGCATGAAGTAATGTTTAAGAACTGTTTCCTGAAACATTTGTATGTGTATGCTGATTATGATGTAAAAAATGCATTTTGTACTATAAGTTACCTCAAAAAAAAATCTGCAAACTGTCCAAAGTAGAAAACATTCTTGAGTATGATTTCATCATTTGCTACCAAACTGATTAATTCTGTAAATATGCCTTTAAATTCCCCTCCCCCCTTTTATGATATTCCCACTTACAAGTGCTTCAAACCTTATTCTAAGCACTGGCCTACTCCTTTCAGTGCTCTGATGCCAATCAGTGCTATGTAGAAATTTTTAAGTACCAGCTGTCTCCACCAGCACTCCCAAATGTGGAAGGCGCTTCCTTCTCCCCCCAAAACCACACATGCACAAAAAACTACATACGAATTCCTGAGGCAATGGTTTGTCTCTGGACAAATACTGTTAACCACTACCTCAATAGAATCTTCCAGCCTGAAAAAATATTCCTGGGCCTCCCTGGTGTTCCAAGGGGTTGAGACGCAACCTGTGAGGCTGTCCAAAGCCACTGCAGCGCGAGTTCGATCCCCAGCTGGGGACTTCTCCTGGCTCGCCTGCTGCTCCCCTCAGCAGTGTGTTTCGGTCAGTCTGCCTGTTCTGTTCCCTGCTCTGTCTCTACTGGGTCCTCTCACCCTCCACAGCATTGGCCTGTACCCCAGTTCTTGTATGTATGAATAGATAGATCTTTAAAAAAAGATATATTCTTACCTACACTCCCTTGCTAGTACCTGTCTTCTAATTATTGCTTTCTTTCAGAATGGATGTTTCTCATTTTTCCATTTTCTAGATTATTTTAAATAAAACTGACAGTATTTTTTTTTTAAAGCACTCTTCTTTACAGGGAAAAAGCAAAAAAGAAAAAGAAAGGAGTCTTCTATTTAGACAATGGAGGGAAAGAAATTTGAAGACTTGCAGAAATTAATAATTTCTGCAAGCATAATTTACAGCATAATTTAAAGAATCTTGATTAGTGATGTTTAAAACCAGAAGAGTCTACCAACTCGTATGCAGTTTTTGTTTCTGCTACTACTAGTATAGGGCAAATGGTACCATTACATTCCACCCAAAACTTGCAGTCAAATATAAGACTGGTGAAATAAATGTTTTGCTATCTCTGCACACCACCTGCATAGATATTTTTGTGGTTAAAAAAAAAGCTGCTTGATAAATCAACACATCTTTCACAGCCTTTTTTTTCTTAAAATTATAACCTCATCTTTAAAAAAAATTAAATACAGTATTGGAACAATTTACAAGATTATTTTTAACTTTTTTTTTTTTTTTTTTTAATGAAACAGCATAACTTAATGAAAAGAGCACTGACTTCAATGCCAGGCAGATCTGGGCTCAAATCCCAAGCATAGACGAGCTTATGACCTTAGCTAAATCACTTCCTTCTGAATCTCTGCTTCCTCATTTTTATCTGTCCTTTGCAGGCAATTCTGAAAATTAAATGAAAAGCAGAACCTTACTGTATGCACACACATAAACAACAGATCTAACTTACCTTTTCCCCACACCACATTCCTATCAGTAACAGCAGCAACTTGGCTAAAGTTACTGTACTACTTCTGAACTGGAATGGACTGGAGAGGGGATTGAAACAGGGGAAAGGAGATGACCCTCTAAGGAGAGATTTGACATGGAGGAAGAATACAGTACACAGAGTATATATGAATGTATATGTCAGTTTAAACTCCTGGTGATTCTGAAGTTTTCGCCAAATGGTCTATGTTTCAATGAATTACTACATTAATAGGTTATTTTAGGAAACCCCAGAGTTTGGTCACTAATATAAATGGATTTCATACTATAGTTGTGACTTCATATTAATTATCTAAAGCCTTTCACAAAAAAATTAGCAAAATTTTTATCATGATGATCAAAATTAAACTCATGATGTAAAAGCAAGACTCTTGCCTTTTGAAACAATGTAAAATTGCTTTAACACATATCTACAAGATTGGCAATTATTTCAAGGTATGGAAAATACTATTGATAAGGATAGATCATCAGTCACTGCTGATGAGTACAAATGGATATAATCACTGTGGAAAACAATTTGGCATTACCTATTAGGGCTGAAGGCATTATTTCCCTGCAATTCAGCAACTCCACTCCTAAGTTTATACTAGACCTTAGGTATTTGCACCAAGAGGTATGTAGGAAGAAGTTCATGGTAGTAATTTCTTAGAAATACAAGAACTGTATAACAACTCCAATATCTATAAGCAAAAGAAACATTAACTGCAGAATATCTATAAAATGGCAAAATTAAAACCATAAAATGAATTAAACCAAATTTTGGGTGAATCCCAAAAACAAAATATTGAGCAAAGAAAGGATAGTAAAAGTATTCCACTTACATTAATTTAAACACCACGTAAAACTAAACAATACATTGCTTAGGGATACATATGGTGGATTATTTAAAAAAACAATAAAAGAAGAGCATTATGAATACAAAATTTAGACTACAGATTATTTACGTAGTGGAGGGCCGAGCTATAGCCCAGGAGAACATATGGGGACTCCAAAGGAACTTATTCTCTGAGAAGCTTCTCTGCATTAACAATACTTCACATTGTTGTTTTTTTTGAAGATTTAATTGATTATTTATTTATTTATACAAGCACTGGGTACAGTGGGAGGGTGAGAGAATTCACCAGAGCCAGAGTGGGGAACAGAACATGACAAAATACACTGCTGAGGGGAGCAGCGGGTGGCAGGAGAGGTCTGCACGCCATGTGGGACCCTCACCGGTGACCGGGGGTCGAACTGGCCCTGCAGAGGCTGCGGGCAGCTTGCAGCCCAGCGCTCAACCGCTGCGCCAGAGGGGTGGCCCTGTTTGTTTGTTTTAAAGATTTATTTATTTATTTATTTATTTATATAAGCACTGGGCACAGTCAGAAACGCAGGAAGGTGAGAGAATTCACCAGAGCCAGAACAGGGAACAGAACAGGCAGACTGAAGAAATACACTGCTGAGTGGAGCAGCGGGCGCGGCAGGAGAGGTCTATCCCGCTATGTGGGACCCTTGCCGGCGAACGGGGAGCAAACCGGTGCTGCAGGCTGCGGGCAGCTTCGCAGCCCAGCGCTCAACCGCTGCGCCACCAGGGGAGGCCCTGTTTGTTGGTTTTTTGTTTTTTTTTTTTTTTAAGATAGAGAACAGAAAGACTAAGTAACACATAGGAACCCAAAGCAAATTAAGCGCCAAATTATGCACTACATAATACACTTCTCCCACACTTAATAAGACATCCTGACCCTTTCACAAATAATTCTAGAATTTAGTCAAAAATTTTAAGAAGAAACTTAAAATTCGCCAAAAAAACTCTTCATGCTACCCAATATCCCTCAACATGCCCCCAAGAAGGCAAAACCTTCAACTTCTGTGTTGAAGTTTAGAATAGAAAGAATTAAGATTCTTTCTACTTTTACATTCAGTAAACAAACTTGAACTCTTTCTCCATCTATTGTAAGGATGGACAGTTTTATGTTAGCATTAACACATGTTCCAGGGAAAAAATCAGCAAAGTGATTGAGCAAGGCATACTCTGGGTAGGGTGGGTCTGGTATGGAGCACTCGATTGAATTCTTAAATACTTCAACTTAACCAGTTTTATCCAACTTACATTATACGTCTCGGAACGAAGGCAATTACAAATGTAAAATGACACATCTTCTTTCCTGCATCAAACCTAAATCACTAATTACCAACTGGGTTTTGCAAAGCAGGCAGGTACACGGGACATGCGTGTCTCAGAGGGAAATTATCATTTGTTCATTTCTACCTATTCTTGAAGCACTTTCTCCAATTTCTTGACGGTGATACTTTACTAACCACCCTTATCGCCTCCAACTTTTCCTCGAGTTATCACCCCGACCTTCTCACACAGCTGCCCAAGCCTCAGGAAGCCTCAGTGAAAGCGCCTCTGCACAAGCCCTTACCAGACTCCAGAAACGTCGGCGTTTCTCTCCAGACAACCCTCCGCGATCCCCGTCTCTGAGGGCGGCTTCAGCTCTAGCCTGGCCGTCGGCCCAGACCTCCACGCCGCGCAACCGCACCCACAGACTCCCTCTGCTCCCCTCGTCGCCGTCCTCTCTATCCTACGCCCTCTCCAAGGCCGGCTCTCGCCTCCTACCCACGCCCCCCTAATCCCCCCTTCACTGCAACCGGCGCCCCGCGTTTCCACCCGCCAAGCTCTCGCCGCCGGGCCTCCCCACCGAGCCCACGCGCCGCCGCCGGCCCGGCCCAGCCCGGCCCGATAGGCCCCGATACAGGCCCCGCGGCCTCGGCCGACCCTTCTCCTCACCGTGGCGTCTCCCTGGCCCTCTTCCCGGGGCCCCTCCGCTTCCTCGTCGACCCCCGTCTCCAGTCCAGCAGTGGGGTGGCCCAGCGGCTCCGTGGGCGCCGGCTGCAGCTGGCGCTCGGGCTCGGGAGGTGCCTGCTCCATAGCTGCCGTTCGGCGCAGGGGCCCTAGTGCGCCTGCGCCGCCGCGCTCCAACCGCCGCCGGGGCCGCCCCCTCCACTCGGGGCCGCCCCCTCCACTCGAGGCCGCCTCCCCCTCGGGGTCGCCCCCCCCCTCGGAACCGCCCCCACCTCGGGGCCCCCCCCCACTCGGGGCCGCCTCCCCCCACTCGGGGCCGCCCCTTCCTCTCGGGGCCGCCTCCCCCCACTCGGGCCGCCCCCTTCCTCTCGGGGCCGCCCCCTCCACTCGGGGCCGCCCCCTTCCTCTCGGGGCCGCCCCCTCCGCTCGGGGCCGCCCCCCTCCGCTCGGGGCCGCCCCCCTCCGCTCGGGGCCGCCCCCCTCCGCTCGGGGCCGCCCCCCTCCGCTCGGGGCCGCCCCCCTCCGCTCGGGGCCGCCCCCCTCCACTCGGGGCCGCCCCCCTCCACTCGGGGCCGCCCCCCTCCGGGTTTCGCTAGTGACGCCGGAGAGCTAGAGGGCTCTCACGGCTTGGTTGGGGAAAAGCAGGGTCTACAAGACTAGTTAACCACTAATCCTGGAGGCGATGGAGGGAAAGAAAGGCGAGGGTAGGGTATTGGGACCGTTCAGGGTGGTGATTATCTGAAGGAAATAGGAAACTCAGAAGAAACTGGCATGGTTTGACCGCTGTTTCAGGCTCTCTCCCGCCTGACATACTGTAATGGTTCTGTTTCTCTCCCGGAAAGGTTAGCATAAATTATTAACCTGGAGCAGGTTGAGTAACACCTTCATTAAAAGGTAACACTTCCAAGTGTTTGAGGGAAGTGGACCTGAAGGAGTGCTTGAGTTCTATTGAAGTGTTTCTTGAAGGCCTGGAGACCTTCTACTACTTTTCTACATTTAAAAAATATGTATTTATTTATGCATACAAGAACTGGGGTACACTGACTGAGATACACTGCTGAGGGGAGCAGCAGGTGAGACAGGAGAGGTCTGCTGCACCATGTGGGTAGCTTCCTGGCTGGGGATGGAACTGGTGCTGCAGAGGCTGTGGATAGCTTCAGAGTGCTGTGATTAACCCCTTGCATCACCAGGGAGGCCCCTACGAACATTTAAAAAAAAATTTATTTATACATACAAGAACTGGGGTGCAGACCAGAGTTGGTGGGGTGGGAGAGGATTCACCAGAGACAGAGTGGGGAGCACGACAGGCAGACTGACCGAAATACACTGCTGAGGGGACCAACAGGTGAGACAGGAGAGGTCTGTTAGCTCCCTGGGTGGAGATCAAACTCATGCCACAGGGAGTAGCTTGAAAGTGCTGATACTTAAACCTCTGCACCACCAGAGAGGCCCAAAAGAAACATTCTTTTATTTGCACAATTAGAACCAATGACAGACGGTGAGGCAGATTTTGGTTCAAAGAACATTCTAGAGGCAATGCTGTCCACAGATAAAATAGCTGTTGGAGAAGCAGCTCATGGGGGACTCTTTGTCTAGATATTGAAGAGTGGATGCCTATTTTTTACTTCCTTTTGCTGGATCCTGTTTTACTTAAGCACTTATTTTCTCCAGTTCCTGCTGTTCCCCTTTGTGTTATGGTTTTGCAAGTCAGATTCCTCTTTTGGGTGGGAATAAATTTCTAGGCAAAATTGGAGGAATTGTTCCGTTCCTTTTTAGCTTTTGATGATGTTGAGGAGGCTGATGCCACTGTTTTTGGAATATTCTCTTTATCCTCAGTGTTACAGAATTTCACAATGATGTGCTTGGTTTTATTTTTTTTTTTTATTTTTTTTTTTAATAGAGGCATGTTTTATTTATTTATTTTGTTTGTTTGTTTGTTTTTGTTTACACATGCACTGGGTACAGTCAGAAGTGCGGGAGGGTGAGAGAATTCACCAGAGCCAGAGCGGGGAGCAGAGCAGGCAGAAGGACCGAAGTACACTGCTGAGGGGAGCAGCGGGCGGCAGGAGAGGTCTGCGCGCCATGTGGGATCCTCCGCCAGTGGCCGGGGAGCAGCCGGGGATCGAACCGGCGCCGCAGAGGCCGCGGGCAGCTTCGCAACCCAGCGCTCAACCGCTGCGCCACCGGGGAGGCCCCCCAAGATGTGCTTGGTTTTAAGCTTTTATTTTTCCCCTATTGTGCAACTATTTGTGGCATTTTCAGTTTGTTTTGGGAAATTTTATTGTAAATAATTACGTATTTTGAAGTATCTCCCTTCCCATTGGTTTTCTCTCCTGCAACTCTTACTTATTACATGTTAGATTTCCTGGAATGCACCTTGAATTTCCCTATCATTCCTCTCCTATTTGTCCACCTCTTGTCCTTTTGTTCTATTTGCTGACTTTTTCTGATTACCTTCTATAACCTGCATTAAATATTTAATTTGAACTATTAGATTTTTATTTGCAATACTTGTCTGTGTTCTCTGAAGCCCACTTTTAAAATAGCATCTTGTCCATGTTTCATTGAAGTAACAAGATCTCATCTGTCTTAAGTTTTTTTTTTTTTTTTTAAAGATTTATTTTTTATTTATTTATACAAGCACTGGGTACAGTCAGAAGCGCAGGAGGGTTTGAGAATTCACCAGAGCCAGAGGAGAGAGCAGAATAGGCAGACCGACGAAGTACACTGCTGAGGGGAGCAGGGGACGGAAGGAGAGGTCTGCGCGCCATGTGGGACCCTGCTCCGGTGGCCGGGGAGCAGCCGGGGAGGAAACCGGCGCTGCAGAGGCTTCGGGCAGCTTGGCAACCCAGCGTTCAACCGCTGCGCCACCGGGGAGGCCCAGTAAAGGTTTAATTTTTCCTGAAGCTATTTCCCCTTTTTCAAATTATCTATTTCTTTTAATTACTTTGTTTTTGTCTTATGTTGGAAATTTTCCTCAAATGTCTGCTGTTTGTAATCTATTAAAAGAAGGCAGAATACAATGATCTAAACCAATTTTACTTCAATAAACATAATTGAGGGAAAAATAAGGCATAATGTGTTGTTATGTGTCCGTAGGTATATGAGATGTGTGTAATTTGTTGGTGAGAGGTTTAAGGATTGTATTAGGAGTTGCTGAATTGACTTTAATCAACAGGGTTGTCAGGACTTTTCTGTTGGCAGATCCTCCAAGTATATCTGTAGGACTTTTTCACAGGGTTGTTGTAAACATAAGTAAAACATGAAAATGCTTTTAGTACATGGAAATTTTTTTTTCTTTTTTTTTTTAAAGTAACAGGATTTTTTTTTTTTAAAAGATTTATTTATTTATTTATACAAGCACTGGGTACAGTCAGAAGCGCGGGAGGGTGAGAGAACTCACCAGAGCCAGATCGGGGAGCAGAACAGGCAGAAGGACTGAAGTACACTGCTGAGGGGAGCAGCGGGCGGCAGGATAGGTCTGCACGCCATGTGGGACCCTCGCCCAGCAGCCGGGGATTGAACCGGTGCTGCAGAGGCTGTGGGCAACTTTGCAACCCAGCGCTCAACCGCTGAGCCACCGGGGAGGCCCAGTACATGGAAATTTTTATCCAGCTTGATTTTTGGAACAATTATGGACTTTATGCCACTAATATATATATTTTTAAAATTTTCATTTTTACACCAATGAGGTTTTTTTTTTTGAAGATTTATTTATTTATGCATACAAGAGCTGGGGTGCAGGCCAGAGGTGCGGGGGACGAGAGGATTCACCAGAGACAGAGTGGAGAACAGAACAGTTAGATTGGCTGAAATACACTGCTAAGGGGAGCAGTGCACGAGATGGGAGAGGGCTGCTGCGCCATGTGCGTCACCTCCCAAGCCTGGCAGTGGCTACAGATAGCTTCATAGTGCTGATGCTTAACCCCTTGCTCCACCAGGGAAGTCTCGAGTTTTGTCTTTTTATCCCCATCTGATAGAATCTTTTCTCCCTCTCCTATTATCTCTGGTGAATCACTGCACAGTCACTGTAATATGACTCCAAAATGTAGATTCTGGAGTAAAATCACACCAAGTTGCCCTTTTCTGGGAGGAAAACTTTGAACAGAAGTTAGCCCCCATCCACCCTTTTTTTTTTTTTAACATTTTAAAAGGACAGGTTTATTAGGAAAAGGAGAGGTTTATTAGGAAAAGGAGAGAAATAGGCACCTGCATAATCATAGGTGGGCAGGAGAGCTGCTGCTTCTGCTATGCAATGGGAAAATGTTTGTGATTAAAGAAACCCTACATAGTCACAGATGGGCAGGAGAGCTGCCAGAAGTTAGCCTTTATTTTAAGGCAATACCTGTAATAAAATTCAGAATTACATAATTAATAAATCATTTAAGAATTCATCTGCATAAACTGGTTCATTAAAACCAGGCTTTTATAGTGGGAGTAAAGTATAACTATATATTATGGAGTCAGGTATTCAGTAATTTTATTCTTCCTAATCACTATTTTTGGTGACAAGTAGGCATTGGAAGTAAGTAGGTTACAAGTTCAGTGAATCAATATGGAAATGCCACACCTCAACCAACACACAATCTAAATTTACCTTTAGGAGCCTAAAAAGTATCTATTCAAAATACAGTGAATTGGAATATGTACATATCTGACAGAAGGTTCAATCCAATAAAATAGGAAAGATCTTAATTACTCATGAATGTACTGTTTTTTCTTAAGAATCTTAAAAATCATAGTTCAATAATTCTTAAAATGAATCAGAATTCAAATAAATAAATGGGCATTCAAATGCTTCAAAGATCAAAACAAAAACCCTCTAGTTTCTTGTTACATTCCTAATCTATTCCTAGTATATTTAAAAGATAGTAAAATTAAAATGTTTTAAATTTTAGAGACTCTTGGGCCTCCCCGGTGGCGCAGCGGTTGAGCGCTGGGTTGCGAAGCTGCCTGCAGCCTCTGCAGCCGGTTCGATCCCCGGCTGCTCCCCGGCCACCAGAGGAGGGTCCCACATGGCGCGCAGACCTCTCCTGCCGCCCGCTGCTCCCCTCAGCAGTGTACTTCGGTCCTTCTGCCTGCTCTGCTCCCCGCTCTGGCTCTGGTGAATTCTCTCACCCTCCCACGCTTCTGACTGTACCCAGTGCATGTATCAA